GAGAGAGAGAGAGAGAGAATTTTTATTATTTATTTTTTAGTTCTCGGCGGACACAACATCTTTGTTGGTATGTGGTGCTGAGGATCGAACCCAGGACGCACGCATGCCAGGCGAGCGCGCTACCGCTTGAGCCACATCCCCAGCCCTGTAGAGATATTCTTTATGCTGTTCTTATTTTTCTCCAAGTTCAAAGTTCATTTCAAAATATTATTTAAAAAATGAATTTTAAAAAGCCATTTTGACTTTAATTTCACTTATGGAAAGTCAATGCAGGGAGCTCATGTGAGAGGAAGATAAATGTGCATTAAAGGACATTCATCCAGCTGCTACTTACATTGGTAAAACACTGGGAATAGCCTGAAAGTCAAGCACTGAGGATGTTCCCATGAACCATTCAGAGGGATAAGAAGGAACCTGGCAGGGGACAGCTTGCCTAGAGGCCCTGTGAGCGTGAGAACTCAGCAGGGGAGTCTGAGAAAGGTCCCTGTGGCTGCTGCTTGGTGTGTGAGATGCAGGAGCAGAGAGCAGAGCAGAAGGCCCTGGACTGGACAGGGTTGGAAGGGAGGCAAGACCAGAGGCAGGACGACACCCTAGAGGGTGCTGCGGTGGTCCCTGAGAGACATGGAGGTTTGGCCTCGGGCTGGGGCTGGGGCTGGGCTTGTAGCCACACTGGAGCTCAGTTTGGAAGCTAAGAAGGCCTCATAGTCAAGGAGAGGCCAAAGGGGTATCCAGAGGACTCTCACGGTTCTACCTTGAGCAGCCGTCGATGGTCCCGGAACACTGGGGTGGGTARGGTGCAGTCAAGGGCGGGGGACACTTGACTCTTGGCCTTAACTGTCAGAGACACCGATAGGCAGTCACATGTCCAGGTAGAGGACGGCTCACCAAAGGAGTCCCAGCTGGATGGGAGGTTTTATTTTCCTTTTCCTGCCTTTCCCTGTTTTCCAAAYTTTCCCACAACAAGTGTGTGACTGTCTGGGAGCATCAAGTTTGGAATCAAGGAGGACAAGGGTTTGTCCTGCAGGGGTGTGGGTGCAGCCACCTTGGGGAATCTCCCTTCCCGACAGCCCCCAACTCTCTTCCATACCCATCCTGGGCAGCACCCCCAGAATTAGCTCTGACCTGGGGGACCTCAGCACCTTTTGGAGCAGCTCCTGAGGGATATGCCGAAGATGGATCTGTGTCGCCATCAGAGGGACCAAGTTCATTTCCAGCCACCTCTCGCAAGCGGTCGTGAGCTGCTCTTCCTTGTACTGAGAAGACAAAACACGGCGCTTGACGGAGGAATTCCTGGCTCCCCGCGCCCTCTGCTGGCCGTCAGTGAGACTGCACACATGCACAGAACGGGCTTACTCTGCTCAAGGCAGGGCACTCCGTCCATTTGAACCAGTCCTCACCGCCACCCTATGAGGCTAGCTTCCAGTTAACTGAGGCTCCAAGGTTTCTGTTCTTCCCATGGGAACACACTAGTAAGTGGCAGAGCCAGGAGCAAACCCAGGTTGTCTGACCTCGGGCCCCGCATGTGCAGACCTCTGGGCTGTCTGTCGACTGATCTCCTGAGGGCCCGGGAGAGGCATCCCGTTGGAGTTCTGAGGCACAAACTTTAGAAGCAAGGTTGAAAGGRCAGGAAAATTGGAAAAGTCTCCCTSGAGCCAGGGACCCTGAGAGYGTCTCTGTACATTTAGCATGTCCTCAGGGCTTAGCGTCTGTCCAAGCCAAAGATTTTTTGAGAAATGTCAACTAGAATTAAAGATGTCACTGAGAGTGGCTTTCCAACAGTGTGGGGTGAAGGCAGGGACCACACGGTCTCTGTCACACAGGTACGTAGGACATTCTTAGAGGTGGTGCTGAGAGCACCTGGCATGGGGCTGTGTGCAAACCCTGCGTGGCCTGGAGTGAGTCTGTCTCCTGGTGTGAGTGTCCCTGAGTCAGGGAGGGAGCTGGGATCAGGAAGCCTGAGGCTGAGGCCCGCACTGCCCCTCAGCTGCTGGGCACCCTGGGCAGTTTGCTCCCTTGGTCAGGTTTTCTCCTCTGGTAATAAGAGCTGGATGACATTATTTGCTTCCAACATGGACACACTGACTGGGCTCAGGTGGGACAAGATCTCATGGCTCCATTCTAGAATGTTCTGAAAAGTCTGTGCTGTTTCATTGAGAAAGGCCATGCTACACCCTGTTTCTCAACCTCTGAGGTTGTAACTATTCTACTCTTAATGCATATCTTTAAAAAGAACTCTTTTTTAAAAAAAAAAAAAGTGCACTCCTTTAGTAAAATAAAATATATTTAACCTTAAATCGGTGACTTTGAATAGAATTTTTGGAGCTGGGCCTGGCAAGTGAAATCAGAGTCCAGAGTGTTCTTGAAGGCCCCACCCCACCATCCCATGCCCCTGGGYCGATGTGCCCTGCCCAGGTGTTCTCACCCTGTGGCCAGCCAGGTAGAAGTTCTTGATGGTGCTTGGCCCGAGTCCATTCATCATCGTGACCACACATCTGCGGAGAGAAAGCTGTTGATCCTGGAGGCCCCCTCAGGCTGCTTTCAGGGAGGGGACCCCAGAGTTTTTCATTCAATTTCAGGAGGGCAGCAGCAACCTCTCACCAGGAAGGGAGCCTCCTTTTAGGGATATGGTATTTGTTCAGGCCTGTTACAARGCGCTCCAGGCTGCGGCAGATAGGGCTGGGGATCAAATCMCTCAGAGGCAACAATGTGGCCTTGWCACCAGGGCCAAGGTCATTGCTCAGAGCATACATGTCTACAGATGCCTAAATGAACTCAAGCTCAGCCAAGAGGGCCAGCTGGTTGTTCTCCTGCCTGGGGTGCCCTCTCCCTGCCCTGACCATCATGGCGCTGCTACCGGGGCCTCAGGTCCTGAGCTGCTCTATGAACAAATGGATTCAGTCGTGTTCAGGGTTCTAAAGTTAAAGCACAACGTGCCCTGGGAATGCAGAAAAGGTGAGTCTAATCTAACAGGGWTAAATCAGAAAAGAGGTCAGAAACCAGAAAAGTGACCTTAAAAATGGTAAGGAAGCCAGGCGTGGTGGTGCATACCTGGGAATCCCAGCGGCTCGGGAGGCTGAGGCAGGAGGATTTCGAGTTCAAAGCCRGCCTCAGCAAAAGAGAGGCACTAAGCAACTCAGTGAGACCCTTTCTCTAAATAAAATGCAAAATAGGGCTGGGGATGGGGCTCAGCGGTTAATACCTGGTACCAAAAACCAAAAAAACCCTAAAGGAGCAGGACAAAGAATTGGTTGGGATGGGACTGGGAGACCAGCAGCCCAAGAGAACACAGGGGTGTACAGCCACCTATGAGGCTAGCTTCCTGTTAACCCTATGTTACTTATGGAGAAAATCTGGGTTAGCAGACCAGCAGTGCAGGGGGTGGGCCACACCAAGTCAGCGAGCTGGCGGGACCGAGGGGCGGACGTGCTGGYGGAATGTGGGGCCACGGAAGACCCGACATCTGGTGACTCAACATTCATACCTAATATTAGCCCCTTTTCAGCAAAACCGCCTTAAAGCATGCTCACCTTTTTAAACAGGGCACCTGAGAACATCTCTGGGGCTCTCATATGAAGCAGGATCCTGGCTCCGKATCACTCAGAGGCTACCCTAAGGTGTACCTGAGCTATAGGATTTCCAGCAACTCTTGCACATGTTTAAATGTATTCCTCAAGGAAGCCACCACCAACCAAAAGCCCCATGGGCCCTCTGCAGCTGGGCACCTGAGCTGCAGCCTTGCACATGGGCTGCGTCTCTCACAGGTGAAATGGATCTGCCCTCCACAGAGCAGCCGTGTCCCCTCTGGGCTTGGGTTCACTCACTCACTCACTCAGATGAAGAAACAGGCCGAGGAGGAGGTGAAACAAGCCAGGCAGGACATCCCCACCCTCCTCGCTCTCTACACTGACTTGCTCAGGGAATTTGAAAAACAAARAGCTTCCAGAGGGCACCTCTGTCTTCAGGCCCGTCAGGCACCTGGCACGGTCCTGTGAGAGCCCAGAGACGAGCCAGATGCCCTAGGAGACGATTCCCACTAAGGCTTTTCCRTGTGGTTCACTGCCCTCTCTAAGCATGAGTGGCACCGAGGGGTACTACAGGATTCCAGAAAGGGGACGACTCTCTGATGAACGTGTTTTCTTATCGTGAGCACCAGCTGACCTGAAATTAATCACACACAGCACAACATGTTCCATCTGGGAGCCTCCGCCCTTCACTCTGCCTGACCTGACTCATTTCCTGTGTCTTGGGCCTGTGGGACATAGGCCTTCGAGGACAGTGACCTGCCTATCTGTCCCTTTCTGTCTCCTTGCATCCTGGAGAGGCCAAGAGCTCCTTCCTGAAGGCGTGACTGAATATACGACAGGTGAGCCACCCTAGGCAGCCCCACCTGGCCGAGTGCTGCTCCAGGGAGGGGGGCAGGGAAGCGCCACAGACAGGCCGGTGACAACGTGACCACCCGRCTGTGCACAGCAGAGTAGGGCCACGTTGGTGGTGAGGTTTGGGGATCCTCGACCTCCTTCAGTTCTTGGCTTTCCTACTTGGAACCTGTGTGGCCCTGAAGCCTCAGGCTCCTGTCTGTAAAATGGGTGTAGAAACAGTCCTACCTCCCAGGGGTGCAGAGAAGATGAAAGGAGCCCGTGGAGAATGTGTCTGACTGTAGCAAACGYGCCACCTCAAAGCCCTTTGTGTCCACATCCCTTAAACCCAGGAAGGTTCTGGGAGGCAGACGGCACATATACTGAGTCACGCTTTACGGTGGAGACGGTGGAGGTACGCGGAGGCCGAGGGGAAGCTTATTGCAGGGCTGAACACAGCCCCTGCAGCTCACGKGCCCCGACTGTGCAAAAAGTTCAATGAAAGGGGCTGGGGATGTGGCTCAAGCGGTAGCGCGCTCGCCTGGCATGCGTGCGGCCCGGGTTCGATCCTCAGCACCACATACCAACAAAGATGTTGTGTCCGCCGAGAACTAAAAAATAAATATTAAAAAATTCTCTCTCTGTCTTTCTCTCTTTGAGAAAAAGAAAAGTTCAATGAAAACTGGGCGCCTCCGACTCAACCGCCCGAGGCTGGCTGCCTTGCCCCAGCCGCCTGGATGCCGTGGGCAGGAGCACGAGGCCTGTCTGCGGCTCCCTGGGTGAATGGAGCCCAGGTGTCGTCAGGATGGGGAGCTTTCCCAKCGGACGCCAATCCACCTGAACTCCTGCTGCCCCCTGGCCAGGTCGCTCCTCCTGGGCAGCCTGGGTGGGGCAGCAGGCTCTGAATGCCCAGCGGGAGGACGCTCCCCACAACCTTGATTTCAATCTTTGCGTTTTCTCTGTTCAAAAAGATTTCTAACGTATAGCATTCATAGTAATAAAAATATTGTTATAAAAGAAACACCAACACTATCTGATATGAGCAGAAAAGACGAGACCTGAGAGGGACGGGGAATGAGCTTGTCCCCCGTGGCCCGTTTAGGTGTATGCACGAGATCTAGAAGTTTTTAACCCTCAAGTGATCACAGGTGACATTGACAAGCGCCTGGACCTGGGGCCCCTGGGAATTCACTCTGCATACCTGCAGCATCTCCCAGCCACAGAGCCCAGTCGCATTTCACTCCTGTGAGTTAAGAATCATTTGGCTAAACTGAGCTCGCAGCTGGCTCCAGAGAGCAGGCTCAGGCACACGCTCCGAGCGCCTTGGTGGGGTCGTGCTTTGCTTAGCACCCAGGACCCCGGGAGTCAGCCCCGAGAAGAGGACGGTGGGCCGGGAAGGGCGCTTGCAGTGGGCCCAGGCTGGCCCTGGCCCTGGCCCTCCTCCTCCTCCTCACCTCTTGAACAGGCGGCTGAACTGCAGGACGTGGGCGGAGGCCAGCACGCCCAGGACTTCTTCCACGTTCATCTCCTCATCCTTCAGGTAGAGGTTCTTCAGAGCCGTGGCGAAGGCTGGGGAGGCAGCAGACAAGGGAGGCCGTCAGCACGAGGCTCCGCACGCCAGGCAGCACCCCAGGGCCTCAGGACTCCTGAGCTGGGTAGGCAGAGACGCCCTTGGAGATAAGGCACCAGGWGGACCTGGGGCTGGCACTGCCTGGCCCCTGACGACTCCCCAGGGGGAGTTCAGCTGGAGCCAAAGCAAGCTGAGCTCCTGCTGGAAGGACCTGCTCTGAGTCTGTGCCTTGGGGTCACCATGAGAGCGAGACATCTTGGGGATCTCTCCCAACCCGGGCTCTGTGGCCCTGAGGGATCACGCGTGCCTGAATTTGTGCAGAATGCCATGAGTAGGTGGGTGGACTTTTTTCTCCAGAGACAACGTACAGCTTCCCATGGACTCTCCTTGGAGTCTGGGACTTTGGTAAGGAACAGAGACTCCTGGGAGGAGCCAGGACAGCTTGACTGTTCAAGAACTAGCGGGCCGTGGTGGGGTCAGATGGCTTGGCCTGTTGTGCTATCACGGTGGACTCTGAGGATGACTGGCTGACCCAGGCTTAAGTGGATCATTTCCTAACCTAGCCATTCATAGCTGTGTTGTCACGTATGTCACACATGCCACTTTAACACAGCAACCCATGACTGGGAAAGGATGGGACAAAGGGAGCCCAAGAGAGCACCCTGGGGGAGGCCTCTGCTAATAGAAGTCGGTGGGGGTCCTTGGCTGAGGAGTGGGTGGGTGCTGCTGGGGAGCAAGGGTGGCCCRCTGGTGTGGGCTCGGGAGGGGCAGTACCACTGTCCCTGGCCTGAGAAGCCGGCTCCCTCCTGCCCCCTGGCTCCTTCCCACGCAGCACCTCCCTCTCCTATGGTTTCACCGTCTTTAGTTTCTCCCAGGTGCCCTAGCCCCCTTGCCCCTTCTTGCTTGTCACTGTTCGGCACTTTGGACAAGGCTGTGTGTGCCGCCTGCATGTTCTGAATCTGGGAATGCTGCCCAGTCAGTGGCACGTGGGGACAGAGAAGACAGGGCTGCATTACCAGCTCTGGTGACCGCTGGATCGTTGATCTTCAGGGAAATGATCATCCTCTTGACACGGTTGCGTTCTTGGACCTTCCCTGGCAACAGAGCTAGGGAAGGAAGTCAGACAGTGATCTGCAGAGGCCAGCAGCACAGTGGAGGCACAGGAGGAGGCTCCCGCTGCCCTTCACTCGCCTGGGTCTCCACAGGCATCCCATTGCATTAGCTCGGTTAATGGATGCATGTTTAAAATAAGTGCTTTTTAAAAAATACTTTMAGACTCACAGGAAGTTACAGAAGTAGTGTAGAGAGTCCCRGGGTCCCCTTGCTCAGCTTCCAATGACCCTTGATGGCCGATGCACATCACCCCCTGCCTCCCTCCCTCTGTCCCTCTCCGGCCGTCTCTGATTAACCTGGGACTGCACCTGAGCTCCTCGGGTAGGCAGGTCAGGCATTGAGTGGGAGCAGAGTGGCCATCTGTGGGGGACTGAAGTGTCCTTCCAGTAGGTGTTGACACTTTGACCCACAGATCTCTAAACTGCAGATGCCTGCCACCGAGGAGTCCCAGGAGGAAGGACTGGGGTCACCAATCCATCGCCAGCCCACCCATCAGCTTGGAGCTGCTCTCAGGCAGCTCTGGGGCAGAAGCCAATGTCCCACCCGTGGCCCCGGGACCTTCATGGCCTCCCACCCGCTCCCCTGCACCAGATCCCAACATGCCCCTCTGGGTTTGTCTCCAGCACAGTGTGGCCCCTCCTTGCTTCTTTCTCTTCGGGGACCTGCCCACGCGTGCTGTCTCAGAGACGCCTTCCTGGCCCACACGTGTGGTAGCATCCTACCACCTGCGGACAGGCCTTTCCTTCTGCATGGACCAACCTGCCCACAACCCGCTGTTCCCCCTCAGAGCTGCTGGGGACGACCCACTGGGCAGGCACATTGATGGTCGGCTGGTGGCTCCGTCCCCAGAAGCCACGGCACTCTTTCACACACGGGGCTCATTAGATGTCATCAGTGAGCTCAAGGCTCCAGGCAGTGAAGAACCACTTGAGAGCCAAAGTGTAGTCACACTTCAGGAAGAAAGACCCCAAATGACCCCAAATGTCCCTTCACTTTCCTCTGGCACTTGGCTGTTCAGCTTTCACTCAGCAAACATGTGTCAAGCACCTACCAAGCACCAGGCCTGTTCTACCTCTGGGTCATTTTCCCCTTGGCATTACCGCTCACCCTCCTGCCGCGGGACCCTGCCAACCACTCCGCCTGTGGCGGGTAGTGAGTGAGACGATGCCCGCGGGAGGCCGCGGTCAGGCCTGGGAGGGATCCTGTGTTTACTGGGCTTTGCTCAGATGGCAGGGTCCTGGCACAAGGCCTGGCATAAACTGAGCTCTTAACCCCTTCGTACCAGCCAGGCCAGAGTGAGCAGAAGACAGGTCAACCTCCCTCCAGGTGAAAAAGCCCCCAGATCAGACGGGGCTCATATGCTCGTGAGTTTCTCAGTGGGTGTTTAGTAAGAGAGCCGTTTCTTTTGGATTTTGTCCCGAGAATAAACGTTCCCTGCTCAGGGACAGCTGCACCTCCATGCTAGGTGGAAAGGGACCGAGCAGCAGAGAGGCTGTGCCTCTGCACAGAGCCCAGAGACCTCCTCTGCTGCCGACTCCAGGGTAGCAACGTGGACATCCTCAAGAACACAAGCTGTCCTGGGGAGATAAGCTTTGCTTTTAAAGGCACGCAGGACTTCGCTCCCATGGAACTTCCTGGAGACATGGAGCCCAGTGACAGTCAAGGGCCATGGGTCTCTTCACTGTGCCTTCCCTGACACTTCCAGCCAGGCCCAGCCTATGGCCTGGGGGTGGGGGTCACATCTGCAGAGCCACCCTGGTCTCAAGCCTCTTCTCCTCAGGGACATCGTTCTAGACCCGTTAAGACCATCATGTTCACAGTGACCCTCCTGCTTCCCAGTGTGCTCGCGGTCTAGGTCACCAGAGCCCTCACTGATGGCTGGGCACAGAGGAGATGGAAGAGGCTGTCCTGCTCTTGAGGACACTGGGACAGATGCGTAAGAGCAGTAAAAACAGTCCCGAGCAGGAGTCATGGCTGCCACAGTCCTGCAGGAAAGCCACGGGGCTCTCACTGCCAGCTCTGCCGGGGAAGAGCTGAGTCAGGGGCCCGGTGCCAGGCAGCTCCCAGGGTGCCCTCTCCAGGCCCAGGAGGGGCGGCGGCCGGGGTCTCTGGCTGCCCATCTGGCTCTGGACTAACAGGGCCCTGCTGCCACATCCTGGAGSCGTAATCCCATCCTGACCGTGAATTTTCCACAGCACCTGCTTGTGAGTCAGCCCTGGGGGTGCCCATCTGTTGCCCCAAGAAGTTGGCAACGAAGCTGGGGAAGACATCAAACAGGTAAGAGCAGGCTGAGGTGTCCAGGACTTAAAGGAGGAAAAGAAAAGAAAAGAAGGAGGGAAGGAAGGAGAGAGAGAGAGAGAGAGAGAGAGAGAGAGAGAGAGAGAGAGAGAGAGAAAGTGACCTAAATTCTTTTTGGAAGGAGAAGTTAAAAAGAAAGAAAAGGAAAAGAGAAAAAAAGGGAAAGAAAAGAAAAACCAGAGGCACACAGTAGGCCCCCACCAGCGTAGTCGGGGCAAACAAGCCAAGTCAGCACTAGCCCTTCGTGCCTTCCAGAAARTCCATTTCTCCTCTCTAAGAAGCATCTCGAGTTTCCATATCTCCCYGACCAGACTCGGAGAACCCAAGGATGGCCCCTGGAGGGGGCATGTGTGAGTGCTGCTGGGACCTGGCATTATTGCAGAACCCCCTCCGGTGACCTCCCTCGGGCTTCAGAGCCAGGGGATAAGAGCCTCCGCCCTGTGGACAGCTGAGGGCATGGAGGTTGAGCACACCTTTGCTCACACCACAGAGCTCACCCATATTTCCTGCAGGGACCCTGGTCTCAAAACAGATGCCCWCTCTCCAAGCTGGGGTCTCTGGAGCCCGGGGGCTCGGGGATCCACCCTGGGTCCGTGGGAAGTTACCTCGGCGGGGGCTTGGACCTCCCCGGCCCAGGGCGGCCAAGTACAGCTTGGTCAAGGTCTCCGACTGGAACAGCTGGGGCTGGTGGAGTTCCCACTTGAAGCCGAGGCATTCGAGAGTCACGTCTGGGGGGAGAAAATGACACTGAGCAGCGAGGCAGGAACGTCCCCACACAGAGCCGTGTGACTGCTCCAGACACTCCTTTCAGTCCCAGCTGTGGAGCAGGACAAGTGGCAAGCAGCTGCCTCAGGTCTCAGTGAGGTGCAGYCCTAAAGGAGCCCAGCGACCTGGGGGACACCAGGGCAGCCTCACTGAGCCAGCGGTAAACCCAGGGAGCTGCCGGCCAAGCTGGGGGCTTCAGGGGCACACGGGCTACCCTCCCATTTGGGGAATTGGAAAAGGTTTCCCAGGAACCTTTCAGGGACACTGGCTGGAACCCTCTGGTGGGACCTCATGACCGTGTTTCTCAATCTCAGCACTGTTGACACTTAGGGCAGGTGACGACTGTGTGAGGACTGTCCTGTGCATTATGGATGCCCGGCAGCATCCCGAGCTTCTACCTACTGGATGCCAGCAGCACTCCCCTCCCCAGCTGTGACAACCAAGAAGGTCAGCAGACATTGCCAGTGTCCCTGGGGAGCAAAATCACTCCTGTTCCCTGCTGAGAACTTCTGGGATGGTTAGTACCTACACACTACCCATCTGAAAGGCCACAGAAAAGTCACAACACAGTGGAAGGCCTGTCAGAGRGGCAGGGTCTGCTGAGTCTCTCTCCTCTAGGGAGCGGAGATGAGCACAAAGTTCATTATTTCACCAGAAAATATGAAATAAAATGGCAATGTGGGTTGGGGCTGGGGCTCAGTGGRAGAGCGCCCGCCTACCAGGTGTGAGGCAYSGGGATCCATCCTTAGCACCACATGGAAATGAACAAATAAAATAAGGTGTGTGTCCATCTACAACTACCAAAAATAAAAAAATAAAAAAATAAAAAAAAGACAATGTGAAGAAGGCCCTTTGCAAATTGCAGAAGGTTTTAAATCATTTTTTTAATGTCTCAACTTTTCCTTTTTTAATACATATATTTTTAGTTGTAGATGGACACCATTTTATTCATTTGTTTTTATTCATTTGTTTTTATGTGGTGCTGAGGAACAAACCCAGTGCGCTATCACTGAGCCACAGCCCCAGCCCCCGAAGAAGGTTTTATAGGGGGAATCTTGCCTGTGGATTGCATGGATGATTTAAAAAGAAGAGACTTTCACAGGAGGGCAGGTGGAGTATCCAGGGACACCAGCCAGGTGAGGCGGGGTGAGAGGGCTCTGCACAGCTCAACTCCTGTGTTAGCACAGAGCTGGAGGAAGGGATGACGCAAGGGCTGAGCTCCCCAAACCCTGAATTTCAGTGCTAGATAGGACCTGTAGGGCTAACGAGCCCCATCCAGTTACTTCTTGGCTTTGCCATCAGTGTGACTGTGTGACCTGGGATAYCTGTTTCTTCTTCCTGTTACTATTCTTGCTATTCACCTGGGGATCACACCTTACTTCTTGGATCAGCCCAGGTGGTCTGGTTATGCTGAATTAGAAAAAAAATCCCACTCTTAGGATGACCACAGGCAGGAGCATAACTGGATCAAACATGGTCCCTCACTGGACATTGCTTTCCACTTTCAAGGACGGCCAATGCAGGACAGACATCGACAGTCGATCTTAGAGCTCTTTCTCCCAAGTCAGGAGATAGCCTCAAAAGATTGACCTTTTCTGGGTCAATCAGAATTGATGGGTGAGAAGAAATCTATTAGTCTCTCCTTGGAAAGGGGTCAGCTCTGCTCTCAGGCAGCACTACATGGGGTCGGGTTTATCCTTCCCAAAAAACTTTTTTAAGGGCTGACTTTGGGCTGGGGGAGTAGCTCAGTGGTAGAGCCCATGGCTAGCATCATGAGGCCCTGGGTTCAATCCCCAATATCACAAGAAAGAAGAAAGGAAGGAAAGAAGGGAGGAAAGAAAGGAGGAAGGAGAGAGCTGACTTGTCTAGGTTTCTTRTGGCTCAGTGGACCTTTGTTCAGAACTGGATGGTCCGGTTCTGATTCTTGGTTCTATTTCAGGAAAGTCCTCTTGGACAAGCGCAGATGTGGATGTCCAAGTCATAACTGGTTAAAGCCCAAAGGGGATAAAGCAGCCCAAAGCAGTTGCCTGGTGCTGAACGTCACTGTTTAGTCTTCTAATCTAAGGGCGACTCGTTAGTCGGTTTGTCCTTGTGTGTTTACTGAGCTTGGTTTTCATTCTTCAYGTATTTGACAAATATTTACAGGCCAGTTGACAGGAATGGTAGCTTCAGGTCTAGTGATCTGAACTGTAAAGACCGCAGAGTCCCCTAAAGTCAGCCACATTCTGATGTCACCCACAGATGACAAAACTCACCTGCTTCCCCGTTTTGGCTGGCCTTGTCCTTCAAATTCTCAGTGAAAATTTTCTGGATTTTTGGAATACGTAACCTCAAGGAAAAACACAAACCAAAAAATCCAAGTTAATCCTGACGTTTTTCTCCAGCTGGGACACACGTCACTCCAGCGTGTGCTTCCCTGCAGCCACCAGCAACCACCTTGTCACATCATGCCCTTTGGGGGGGCTTCCTCAGGTCACTGTGCGTGGATTTGACCACTGCAGGCTGCCTCATGGCTGGTCCCCAACACTGACTCCCAWGTCCAGGCGGTGGGTCGGTCTTACCAGGGAGGTATTGAGGCTGCCCCTGGCTGCCCAAAACTACACCTTATTTGGTGAGTCTCTAAAACATGGCAGATGGTAAGTGCTCAATAAATATCCTTTGGAGAAAACAACAGCATGTTCTACCCACTTTGGGGACTAACTCACCAACAATTTTGTTTGACAGTTATACAGTCCCCAGTCACAGTGCCTCTAGCCTGCTCCTCCTGCCAGGGTCCAGCCCCTAGAGCCCAGGCTGGCCTGCTGAGTGCCGTCATGTCCAGCTGCTTGCCTCCACCTGATGATACTCTGTTGCATTGGTCGGTGGYCTTTGTCTTTATTAATATGACCTTTACCTAAGCTCCTCCCAGTCACTCACTCCTCCACCCCCACCGCCAGCCCTCCTTCACAGGATGCAGCCCTGAGCCCTGCAGAGCTGGTCCTGCCTCTCCTGCTGAGTGTCCCCACCGCCCCCCAGTGCTCCCAAACTCCTTGGCCCAGCTAAGAGCTCCTATGTCACTCTCTGCCTCATGCCTCATTGCCCCCCCCCCCACATCCAGCCCCTTCTGACAGCTTCAACAGCAGGCGGGCTCCTGCTTCCTCTCCCCCACAGGCCCCAGCGCACTCTTGCTCTCCTGCTTGCCTTTTTCCTTGAGGGGCTCCTACACACCTTCAGGATGGACTTTGCTGTTGCCTTGTCCAGTGAAGCTAGGCCAGCGCCCCCCACCCCCACCCCAGGATGAGCCTCACTGAAGCCCCTTCTGGGTGACTTGTRGCTGCCCAATTACTCAGGGTCCTGTGCACCACAGGGCATTGTTTACCGCTCTGCCCTGTCGTTCAGATCTGCAAGCCATCATGCCGGGGCTCAGTGAGTGTCTAAGTGGATGAATGACAAATAGATAAATGCTTTTCCACAAACACTATGTACTCAGCCCACTAAGCAAGGAAATGAAACACAATTTGAGTCACATATTTATGGTTTGAGGGTGGTCATCCCAAAAAAGGCCAGCCAGCCAAGGAGCACTTGATGARCACATCTGGTCCCAGTAGTGTGGTGTCTAGTGAGGCATGCTGTTTTCCTGCACTCCCAGAAGCCCTCACGGGCCAGCGTGAGTGGAGGAGCTGTGAATAATACTGCCCGTGCTGCCCTTTCCAGGGCCAGAGAGGATTGGGAGTGACTCAGTCTCAGGAGGGGCTCAGGGAGCATGAGTTGTTTACCCACCAGGACTGTGGGCAGGACTCAGCCACCCTCACATCCTCCCTCAACCCCCTGGTGGCTTGGGTGACATGTTTGGGAACATAGAGCTGGACAGGGTCAAGAGTTTGGACCATGTCTTCAAAAGGGAGCAACGAGTTTTGGAAAATATGGGGCAATGCCCATGAGCTCAACCACGCTCACAAACATCCCTGTCACCAGCCGAGCCAGGAGGTGCCAGACAGCACAGTGAGCACCCTGCCTCCTCCGGGGGTCCTGGTGCCTCTCAAGGTGGCTCTCCATCATTCCTGCTCTGCAGAACCCAGCGAGTGATGGGTGAATGGCATCTCTTCACCTTTGGGGGACTAAACGGCCTAAGATGAATGACGTGGCAGATGGGGACGTGGGGACTGTGCTCCTAGGCTGGGAACTCCCTCCCCCAAGTCATGGCCCATGATGGAGAAAGGAAAGGGATCCTCCAAGTTTCTCAGGGACACATGGCCTCCTTCAGGAGTCTCACAGACCTGGGCTGGGTCCCAGTCCTTCCRTTTTCTGCATGCAGCCTGGGACCAACCTGTGTCTCAATGCTTTCCTCATAAAATGGAGATGTCTGGGTGGCCAGAGGGCAAATGTCCGGGAGGCCGTGTCCACGTGCATTCAACTGACATTTGCTCTTCCGCTTCCTCTCTGACTCAGACCCTCAGGCTCTCAGCCCACTCTCCTGGAACTGCTCTCTGGTAAACATCTAGGGGTCCCATTTTGACACCTTGCCCCTTGGTGAGACCTCCCTCTGCCCTTGGGATGGGCGTGGTATTCCAGGCCAGATGGGAGAAAAACATCAGGCAGGGTCACCAGCTGGGGAGCAGGGAGGGCTCTGGGCCCCTGTCCAGCACCATGACCCTTAGAGTCTTAGTGGGGTGGCCCTTCCCTTGGGCCCTGCCTGAGGAGTGCTTCGCCCATGCTGGATTTCTGGGTTCAGGTGACAGTGTGCGTCCACACATGCCACACCTCACCAGGGACTCTGCCTCACATGGGTGTACTTGTGCCAAATGCTGTTCTGAACTCTTTCCTTGGATTAGGCCATAATTCTCACTGCAACCCCATAAAACAGCATATCCTGTTTGCAGATAAAGAAACTAAGGCACAAAAGGATAAGGTTGTTTGAAAGGAAGCCAGCATTTCCTCATCTGTCACCCCCTCCCCCATGCCCCAGGCCCTGAGGAGGAGAGCAGGACGAGGAGTAGGAGAGCCAACTAGCGGTGTTGCAGCATCTCTGAGCACTGGTCCGAGGGGCCACAGCATTGTGGACACAGATGCAACCAACTGGCCAGCTGGGCAACACCCAGGCATGGGCCTGCTCAGGACAGGACATAAATGGGAAGTTGGAAGCCCGTATCCCAGCTTTCTACCCGAGAGCCTTTACCAACCAGAAAACTAGATGGATCCAGCTCCTGTCCAAGCACACAGCACCCTCAAGTGGAAGAAGCCACAATTACAGCATCAGCAAYAGGAACAGGGCTTGCTGTGGGCATTTCAGGGGAGGGATGGATGTCTTGTGTACAACCAGGCTCCCCATTGGCCAGGGGGTCTGGAAGGGAAGGGAGGGAAGATGTGGCCACTAGCTCAGCAAACAGAGGGCAAGCAGAAATTGTGTGCCAGACTCTCCCCCGGGGTGCAGCCCCTGCTCATCAGACTTGACCTTGAGCTCATGAGATAGATACTGCCAGCCAGAGTGCATGGAATCCAACCAGGTGGGGGCACTAGGGAAATGAAGAGTTCCTTCTGCCATAGGTCCAGTCTGTTGTGGGGACAGGTATGAGAAGACTCAGAGCATGGAGGAGTGAAAGTCCAGCTGGCTGCTGAGGGGCCATGAGATTGAGGGGGATCAACTGATGGGGTAGAAATGGGCATTTGTGAGAGGTGTCCAAACACTCAGCCACCAAGTTTGGTCAAGAAATCATTCAGTTCCTGGACGGTACATTTAGAATCTGGTGAGGGTCTCCCAGTTCCAGGTACAAAAGAAAAGTCTGGAAAAAAATATTGTCAGCCTCTCTCTGCATTCTTGTCACCACCTTGCCAATGTGCCCATGACAACCCCTCCGTCCAATCAGGGTGGCCCAACCACAGGTGTGGATTCCCCCTACCTTTCTGGGTTCTTCAGAGTTTCCTCAATGTCGATGCCCAAAGCCTGGCACATCTGGGGAAGTGCCAGCAGGTCCCCAAAGAAAGGCTCCTGAGGCAAGCGCCACCGGTTGGTGGAGCCAACGATCCGGCGCTCCAGCCGTGCTTTGTGTTGCTGGGTGATTAAAGAAAGAGGAAATCTTAACTCCCTGGGCATGCCAGGGTTCCCAAATTGTACAGCAGGAAGAAAATCAAGGCAGACTATACATTACTGGTTCATTTTCAAACATGCTACTATTTCTCATAGAGTCTCTTCTCAAGATAAGGATGCTGTCTGTATTCCATAGGCCAAGGATCTAAAGCTACAAAGTTATTTGGAATTTAGGATTAAGGACAGGAGGGCCCAGAGGCCAAAGTTCAGGGGGAAAAAATGGTTTCCTCACAGGCTGCTCTGAAGAGTCCCCAAGTCTTCAAGCCAAGTGTTTGGCTTGAAGAACGGGTCTTTAAGTACCCTAATGTCATTCAGAGAGACTCTAAACTAAGGAGATCCTGGGCAGGGGCCTTTMTTTTTTAGCAGAATATACAAAACATAAAATTCATATTTGAAATTATTCATTTTTAAAGGGTACAATTCAGTGACATTTAGCACATTGATAATGTCACGTGACCATCACCACTACCAGTTCCAGAACATTTTCATTGCCCCACAAAAGAAGCCCTGTAACCGTGAAGCTGTCACTCCTCTCTCCCCTCCCTGCCCTGGTGACCTCTAAGCTGCTTTCTGATCCCTCCTATTTGCCTGTTCTGGATATTGCGTGCATGTGGAGTCACGTGGTTCAAGGCCTTTGGGGTCTGGCTTCTTTCATTTAGCAGCATGATTTCCACACTGCCTTCCTTTTCTAGGCGGAATAACGGTGCACTATGTGGTATGAGGCATTTTGTTTATCCAGTCAGCGAAGGGACAGGGTTGTGCCTSCCCCCTAGGGCTATTGTGAAGAGGCTGCTGTGCATATTCCTGGGTGAGCTGCTGCTGACYGCCTGTCTTCCAATTTTTATTTGTTTGTTTGATACCCAGGAGTGGAACTGCAGGGTCACTTGGAATGGGGTCTGACTTAGAAATTTTCTTGAGGCTTCATAAGAACTTCAGCTATTTCCTTAAGGGAATGGGAGACCACCCACCATGAAAATCAACCTCAGACTCAAGACTCAAAGAAACCAAGCAATAAAAAAGCACCACGAAAAACACATGAATGGACCTAAATAGTCCTAAGCCATCCAGGCACAGGAGGGTGGTGGAGGGACTKCGGGCTGTGGAATGGAGGCTCTGAGCGCAAATCTTTTTTTGTGTGTGTGTGTGGTGCTGGGGTTTGAACCCAGGGTCTTGGGCATTTGAGGTAAGCACTCTACCAACTGAGCTATATCCCCAGCCCCTGAGCTCAAATCTTGTTATTGCCACTTACTAGTTGTATGGCATTGGGAAAGTCACTTTGCTCTTTTTTGAGCTTCTCTTGTCCTCATGTAAAGTAGAATCAGGTGAAATGGGAAGGATCTATGACAAAGATGATGATCATGACAACATGTGATGATCATGACAATGGTAACGATGGTGGTGGTATGATGATGGTGTTGATGGTGGCGATGTTGGCGGTGGTGATGATGATGGTGATGGTAGTGGTGGCAATGGTGAAGTGGTGATGGTGGTGGTGGTGACAGTGATGGTAATGATGGTAGTGATGTTGATGGTGATAATGGTGACGGTGGTGATGATACCATCTTGCCTTCAGAGTTTTAAAAGGGATCAAGTAAAGATTGAGAAATATGCCTTGGCATAGTGCCTAAAATATGGCGGGAGACTGAAAACTGGCTCGGGGTCTAGATGTAGTCCTGCTGTTGTGTGAGGCATGCACAGGGGTCAGTGCAGACAGTGGGCTGCTCTCTGCTTTCTGGGCGGAGCTGCCTGGACATGCTYTTCCCAGCAGAGTCAGCCCACAGAGCTGGAGGCCCTGGGAGGTGCCAGCCCTGAGGAAACCCGGCAATCCTGCTGAAACCCGGTGCCTCTCCTCGCCATGACCTCCTCCTGTGAGTCTGATCTACTTACCGGATTCAACATTTTAATGAATGGTAGTGGAGATACACAGCAGGAAAGAGGTGAGCACCTGAAAGGCAAAAGAGCCAAATTTGAAATGTTCAGTAAATTTCCAAAGGGTCCTTCAAAATACTATGGAGGAAGTTGGCCTAAAGAATCTATATTTTGCCACAAAGTAATGAGTCAGTCTCAAATGTGTGTTATTTGTCAAATCAAGAGGATATCTGGTTTTTAAAGGCAGGCACAGGAGTAGACAGACAATTCTCTGCCATTGTGCTGGGAAAGTGACTCAGATATAGCAGCACAGGGACAGCTTAGGATTCTCTGCACTGCAAAGCTGAGGAGGATCAAAGGCCGACAACAAACAGGCTGATTGTAAAATTTACTAAAGGGGTAATATTATCATTTTTTAAATATTTATTTTTTAGTTGTAGGTGAACACAATACCTTTATTTTATTTTTATGTGGTGCTGAGGATCGAACCCAATGCCTCACCCAGGTAGAGTCAGCGCTCTACCTCTGAGCCACAACCCAAGCCCTGGGTAATATTATTAATAGGCCCAAACAACAGGTGTGGCCAGGGCTGTCCTGGACCCAGGGGACTTATGGCCAGCACAGCTTAGAGGGCTTGAAAGGGGATAAACAGAGGATTTCCCAACTGTCTTTCAAGGCAATTTGTTTGCATGCAACAGAAACCAATCTGGCCGGGTGCAGTGGTGCATGCCTGTCATCCCAGGGGCCTGGGAGGCTGAGACAGGAGGATCATGAGTTCAAAGCCAGCCTCAGCAAAAGTRAGGCACTAAACAACTCAGTGAGACCCTGTCTCTAAATAAAATACAAAATAGAGGGATGTGGCTCAGTGGTTGAGTGCCCCTGAGTTCAATCCCTGTTACCCCCCCCCTTTCCCCCCAAAACCTTGCATATCAAGTCAGCCTGGGCTGGGGTGTCGCTCAGTGGTGGAGCAATTGCTTAGCAAGTGTGAGGCCCGAGGTGTGATTCCCAACACCATAAAAAAGATGTTTCCTTCATGACTGGATTTCCACCTTGCACGAGAGGTTTCTCCCGTTCCCAGGGAATACAAAGCTGCTTCTCTCACCCCCTTCCCACCCAGGAGTTAGAATGGCCTGCAACTCGCTCTCTGAAAACCCCCCTCCAGCTTCCCATGTCCCTTGATTTCAACCCCAAGACCTCAATGTGGTGGAGAGGAATGGGAGAACAAGGATAGCGTTCCACAGCAGGGCAGACCTGGTCTGCCCAGAATGAGACACGCCACCAGGACTCCAGGATGGCAGGAATCCTTCAGCTTGGAGAGAGGGTTCTGGGGTTCGCCCGGAGCTCTCCCAGCCACTGCTCCCTTGGCAGGATAGCCGGGAGCCTCACGAGCTGATCTTGAACCAGGGGTACCTCCATGGCCCAGAACGTGTGTGTTCTTTTCTCCTCCCACCAGGCAGGATGCCCTTAGTGGCTTCTGAGCGTCAGCTCCTGAGTCCCTCTGAGTCATGGCAGCCGCTGCTGATGGCCCCTTAGCTCCCAGAGCCCTGCGCTCCAGCCGGGAATTCCTGAGGCTCTTCTGCCAGCTGAGCCCAGTGTGAGCAGGACCTGGCCCTCCGAGGCCCTCTCGGTCTCTAGATCGGAGAGAAGAACCAGTCCTACTTACAGTTGGGAGGCCCTCCACCCAGCACCAGAGTGTTTACTGAGGAGACGTGTCCAGGGGAGGGACCCTCATGGCACTGTCTCTGAATTTCAGGAGGGCTGGCGGCTGGTCACTTCTGAGCCTGAATTCCGATAGCTCTGATGACATCTGGAGCTCACCCTTTTCTTCTTAGCTGGGCGGCTTGCCTTGGCTTCCAGGGGGCATTGCGGGCACCATGGCGACAGCAGGCAARGTTCCAAGCACTTCCTGTTCTGAGTTCTGGTGTCAGCGCAGGATGGGGCGTATCCCAGGTTCTCAGAGGGGAACTGAAGTTCTCACTGTGAGCAAGGGCTTCTCACGGGGACTAACTGCGTCCCAGGTACCTCCTCCCAGCCTCCTCCCAGAGAAGCAGTGCCACTCGGGTTCCCTTAGMGCACCAGGATCTTCCTGGAGCCACCTGGGGCMACCTGGGGCCACCTGGAAGAGTTTAAAAAGGCTTCCCAGAGGGTCAAACCCGAGTGTCAGCTGTAAATGAGGTTAGACTGCAGGTTCTCAGATCCCTCCTAGCTCTGACATTCTGGGGGACTCTAGCTTTCTGTATCCAGAAATGTTTTGATAAAAATATTTCAATAAAAATGGAGTTTTACAATATTAAGAGCTCTGCCTAATGGGTTGCTTGGTTGATGGGTAATTTTTCAATTTGTTCTCTCTGGGAACAAGAACTACCTAAAAGTCAAGGGCAAGACAAGAGCTTTTGTGCCGGGACCAGGGTGGAACCTTACCGTGTCTTCAGTGACTTGGCTGGCAAAGCCTCTGCCCCCCAACCGAGGCACGCATCCGCCACATCCACCTCGAACCCGGTTGCAGAAAGCCCTAGGCATAGTAATAGGAACCTGAAATTGGGCAGATTGTGAGATCGGAGGATGGACTGTCTCCCAGGTTTCTTCTCAGCCTTTCCTGAGTTATGGAAATTACAAAGTAGCACAGAAGAGTAGCTACTCTACCTGTAATTGTGTTCAAGAAAATAGGAAGCCCACATCWCACACACACACACACACACACACACACACACACAAGAAAATATAAGACACTACATAGTTGGGAGGCAACTCTGAATTTACCTCTCTCCTTATCCTGCAATCCTGCCCGTCCTGATGCCCGAACTCTTCGCAGAGTAGTTGGTTACTCTGGAGGATTCAGTGGGTGGCTTACCCATCTCTGTCTTCTAGGAACCCMACAACTGAACTTGGCTCTTAGAAAGTGCTTGACAAATCCTCTAGAATTGGTTGATTGAATGTACTACTCAACAACTCTGCTTTTGCATGTGGATGGATGTTGTGTGTGTGTGCATGCCTGTTCAGACATGTGTGTATGTGTGGGTGCATGTGTCCCTGTAGGTCCTGGTCCTGGTGTCAGTACACAGATGTCATTGTTGGCAATTGTAGTCATGTATTCATGAATGGGTTGGACTGGTTTCGAGCAGTGTCTTTGGGTTGTACATTGGATGTGGGGTTGGGGAGTAAAATAGGAGGGGGTTTCGTGGTAGGCTATGACTGACCCTCGCAGCCGCTGCCATCTGGCTGAAGAACAATCGATGCTCAGGGTTTTGTGTTTAGTGGCAGCAGCAGCAGCTGGTGCCACAGTCAGACTTGAGGTGGGGTCCCGAGGAACCCACTGTCGCTCTCTTCTTTGACTAGCACTGCCAGAGAGGTCAGGAGAGGCAGCAGGGATGCACTTGGCAGGAGAACAGTGTGGCAAGAGACTGGGGGCAGACACTGCTTTTGTTTTACATTTTAGATCCTGCCTACCCTCCCCTGGGTAGCCAGCCTCCCACCCTGCTGCCCAGCCTGCAAGAGCCAGAGGCCAGAGGCAGAGCCTACCTTCCTGAGCCAGGCCCCCCGGGGCTCTCACACTTGAAAAACAAAGAATTGTTCATTTTTTTTTTTTCCTTTTGCAAATGCAACTCACTTATAGGGACAAGTTCAGAGGCAAAATATATTGAAAAGAAAAATAATTCGAATTCCATGGCCAAAGTTAGCCATCAATAGTATATCAATATTTTGTGTATATGTATACATAAATTTTAAAAGATGAGATTGTACTCTACTTACTTTTTTCCCCTGAGTTGTTCACTCAAAATATCACAAATGTCTTCCCCCACATTCTTCTTTTAATTCTAATTTGTTATATATGACCAGCAGAATGCATTACAATTCATATGACACATACAGAACACAATTTTTCATATCACTGGTTGTATACAAAGTATATTCACCTCATCGTGTCTTCATACATGTACTTAGGGAAGTGATGTCCACCTCATTCCACCCTCTTTTCTAGCCCATTCCCTTCCCTTCCTCTCCAAYTCCCTTCCCCTATCTAGAGTTCGTCTATTCCTCCCATGTTCCCCCTCCCAACACCACTATGAATCAGCCTCCTTATATCAGAGAAAACATTTGGCATTTGTTTTTTTGGGATTGGCTAACTTCAWTTAGCATTATCTTTTCCATTTACCTGTAAATGCCATGATTTTATTCTCTTTTATTGCTGAGTAATATTCCATTGTGTATGTATACCACATTTTCTTTATTCATTCATCCACTGAAGGGCATCTAGCCCCACAGTTTAGCTATTGTGAATTGTGCTGCAATAAACATTGATGTGGCTGTGTCCCTGTAGTAGGCTGTTTTAAAGTCCTTTGGGTATAGACCAAGGAGAGGGATAGCTGGGTCTGATGGGGGTTCCATTCCCAGTTTCCCAAGGAATCTCCATACTGCCTTCCATATTGGCTGCACCCATTTGCAGTCCTGCCAGCAATGTTTGCCTTTYCCCCCACATCCTCGCTAACATTCTTGATCATGATTGTTTATGGTGACATTGTTTCCTGTTGTGGTGGTGGGTGTAAGCAGCCCCCTCTGCTGGACATCAGTGGTGGGTGCAGGCCCTGCAAGCAGGCAGGCTGAGTGTCTGCACAGGGGAACTGCAGCAGCGCACACCGACAGCCACATAGACACACACACACATCCTGCACCTTTCCTTTTAAAGTTTGGTCTATTGCCCCCATCCTAACCCAATTCCAAGACCATGGTGTGTGTGTGTGTGTGTGTGTGTGTGTGTGTGTGTGTGTGTGCAGTGTAGGGGTATATCGTAGAAGAAGCCTGCATAAGTGGACAGATCTGCTTTCTCTACGCTGCTTCTTCCTCTTCACCCAAAACTTTTCCCAGATAATTGCCCCTGGACTTTAGGTCCTCATGTAAATTTTCAATTAAAAGTCTGACGGAGGGCTGGGGTTGTAGCTCAGTGGTAGAGGGCTTGCCTCGCATGCCTGAGGCCCTGAGTTCGATCCTCAGCGCCACATAAAAATAAGTAAATAAATAAAAATAAATATATTGTGTACATGTACAACTAAAAAAATGTTTAAAAAAAAGAAGAAGTTTGACGGAGCTGGGGTTGTGGCTTAGTGGTAGAGCCCTTACAAGTCACATGTGAGGCATTGGGTTTGATTCTCAGCATTGCATATAAAAAATAAATAAAATAAAGGTTTATTAACAACTAGAAAAAAAATTTGTAAAGTTTGAAATACATAACCCAGGATTTTCTTGACATCCCCCCTGTGGGGACCACTTCTGGGGCACCCAGCTAAGCAGGTCCTTGGGCTCCCCCTACTGGCCACTGTCAGGAGTGTCTTTCTGCTTAGGGTGCCATAGTCCTGATGGCTTCTACACAGAAAGCCTGGCCTTGGCTGGGTCCATCACTTCCTGCAGCATCTGAGCTCAGGGATCCAGGGCCTTAGTCCCACCCCTAGAGTTCTTAGCACATACATTCTCCACAGAACTTTCAGGAACTGAGCTGTAAGTCAAAGATAACAAATAAACATAAATGAAAATAGCTCTAGCCCCTTTCTCTGAAAACTCTTACCTGGTGGTGCCCAGCATGCTCAGGATGTGCAATGACCTAGACACCTGAGTCCAGTCCATGAGAGGGAAAGAGAAGAGCATAATGTACATCAGCATTCCAGCTACTGGGGTGGGGTGGGGGGGGATGTCCAAACAACTGCTTTCTATCTCACCTGACTTGGAGCATCAGTGAGGAACTGGCACACTGGGGTCCCTAGGGGTCAAAAACAAAAGAGAACTCCATGTCTTGTTGTAGCGCTAAAACACCAGCAGCACTGCAGACAGACATAGGGAAAGAAAAGGCTGCAAACTCCTAAAAAAAAGCTGATGATCATTCCCGATTAAATGCACAAGGCCAGAAGAGAGACACCTCCAGAGAAAGTTTGTGAGGCCCCCAGAATTAGTAACCAGGCTGTTTGTTTCTTATGAATGTTTTTTTCCTGTTTGAAAATAGTCTATAAAGACTGGAAGAGGTGGTTGTTTGTTAAAATAATTAAAAAAACCCAGCAATAAATAAATAAATAAAATAAGAAGGCACATGAAGAAACGGAATCATAGCTCAGTCAAAAGAATAAGTTTCAAAAACAGACCGTCAAGAAATGGAGATCCGTGAGTTACCCAACAAGGAATTAAAAATAACTATCTTATAGAAGTTCAATGTGTTATAAAAGAGCACAAACAAAATCAGAAAAATGCTATATGAACAAAGTGAAAATATCAACAAAGATAGGAATCATAGAAAAGAACCAAGAAGAAATTCTGGAACTGAAGAATACAATAACTGGTTGAAAAAAATCCCTAAAGGAGTTGACTAACATATGTGATCAAACAGAAGAAAGAGGGACTGTGGTTGTGGCTCAGTGGTAGAGCACTTACCTAGCATGTGTGAGGCACTGGGTTCAATCCCTGGCATCATATAAAAATAAACAAATAAAATAAAAGGTATTGTGTCCATCTACAACTAAAACTTTAAGAAAAATTTAAAAACAGAAGAAAGAATGTGTGAACTTTTAAAAAACAGGGCATTTGAAATTATTGAGTTAGAGGAACAAAAAGAAACAAGAATGAAGAAAAGTGAAGAAATCCCAAGAGACTTATGTAAACCTTCCAGTAGACCAATACACTGGAGGAGGAGGAGACAAACAGCAGGAGGCAGAGAGCTCATAGGATAAATTAATACCTGAAATCCCCAAATATAAGGAAGGAAATAGAGATTCAAATTAAAAGTAGAATAGTGGTTGGTGAGCGGGTAGGTTAGGAGGGACAGGGGATTGTTCAATGGATATGGAGTTTCAGTTTTGCAAGATGAGAAAGTTTTAGAAATCTGTTGCACAACAATTTGGTTATGGTTAATAATACCATACTATACACTTAAAAAGGGTTAATATGGAAACCTGTTATGTGTTCCTGTACCAGAGTAGTAAGAATGTTAATGTTAGAAGAAACTGTTAAATATTAAAAAAAAAAAAAAAAAAAAAAGGAAAGAAAAGAAACCCCAGCATCATACCAGGATCCGGGGAAGGAGCAGTCACCAGCACCATCCGTATTATCTCTTTCAAGTGCCCCATGCAGAGCACTGTTTTTCTCTCCTGGAGTCAGCCATCTGGGATGCAGGTGTCTGCAGGGAATGCTCCTTGGTCCCTCAGATATCACACCTAAGGGGCTGAGCCCCGAAGTTGAATGGAAAAGAAACCCCCCAGGACCCCTGCCCCCATAAGTCATCAGTGACCCCTTCCATCTTTCCCTCCTGCTCTCATCCACATCTCAAGCCACCTTTAACTTGAGAGCCCCAGGGGAAGTGCCGAGCTGGAAAGAAATATATTAGAAGCTTCAAATTACGACTGACTTGGCAAGCTGAGGTTCCTAAGGCCCTGATAATCTCACAGCTGTGGGGGGACTGTCCAGCCATCCCATCCATGAGCACACACAAGTCCACATGCTGACAGAAAGTAAGCAGAGGAGAAAAAGTGGCTGATCTCAACCCCGGTGGGCCCTAGAGGCCAGGCACTCCTCCCAACTGCACTTTGGGTAAGCAGAGATACAACACCTGGGTCCAGAGATGGTCAGTGGCCTGCCCTGAGCTCACAGCTAGAAGGTGGCAGGGCTGATGTGAGTTTTCCTCTCCATCTCCCTGCCAAACTGCCTATGAGGGAGCAGAGAAGGAAGAGGGCTGTTGTCTTTCCACGCCCACCTTCTCTTTGGGGTCTCCTGGTCTCCTACCTCTGTCTCACCTTGACACAGCCCTTAAAGGTTTTGAGGGAATCAGGTTGATGGAAATACTCCATTTAGTGCCCCAGGAAAGCATGTTGACGGACAATGGRAGCTGACGCGGCACTTCCTGTAGCATCCCAGAGACAGAGCCACCTCCCAGGGAGGGCCAGGGTGGTGAAGTAGTTGTGCTGAGGTCATGCGAGGCTGGCCACAGGCAGGAGAGCAGCGTGGGGGCCAATCACATTCCTTCCTGAGGGCGGGCGAGCAATACATATGGGTATAGCCTTAGTGGAAGGCTGTTTGGCAATGGGCTGCCCAGACTTTAAAAATGTGCACATGCCTAAGGTGTCAGCTGGGCTGCCACCAAAAATACAAAAAAAAAAAAAAAAAAAAAAAATATATATATATATATATATATATATAAACAAAAATAAAAGTCCTCATCCTGAGAAAGAACAAAGCAGCCTCTGAAACCTGGAGCTGGCCTGGCACTCAATGCTGGGCCTTGACCATAATCAATGTCACAGATCATCAGCATCAGGCCACTAGGACTGTGGTGGGTCCAGAAAAAACAAGATGGACCCCTAGAAGTGTCTGAGCAGAATGTGAGCATCATCCAAACCACAAAAGGGAGCAAAGATCCTGGCTTTTCACCAGGATCTTTAGAGAGGACGCAATGAAACTCATTCTTAGAGTTGCCTGTCTCCCTGACAGCATCCGACCAGGAGCACAGCCCACTACCCTAACCTCTCCCAAGAATCACCTAATCCCAGGCCAAAGCCTTCCCCAGACCCTCTTCCTGAGCCGCCTCAGGCGCCCCCTGGTGTGCGCCCTGCCTCACTGCAGAAAACCACGAACCCAAGCCTCTCAGGCCCAGCGAGGGGCTCCGGCCTTAAGCCTAAAGGAGTAAATTCCTGGACGCCTGCGGCTTGCAGGATGAGGGCAAAACACCAAGCACCATGCAAACGCACAGCCCCCGCAGGGGCTGGGCTGAGCACTGGGAATGCCGCGCTGCCCCTCAGCATTTACTGCTGTGACCGTTTACCAGAGGGCAGCTCCAGAGACAGCGTGGGACAAGTTAGAGGCAATGGGCCCTGGGGACTTGGGCTCACTGAAAGAGAATGACTACACGTGGGCTGAAGGAGAACCMACAAGGGACAGGTCTGCAGCTGAGCTGAGCAGGTGAGCTTCATCCACCTTGCAAGTCACAGAAGAGACCCCCGCCCCACCCACACCCCCATGGCTGARGCTGCCAGGGGCCTTCCCTGTTGGGGGGGTGGGCCTTTGTGAAGAGAGCAGCCCAGAGCCACTGTGCCTAGGGCAGAAGATGACAGGTGAGCTGAGGGCCGCTGGGGGGCCTGGGCCTCACCCCACATCCCACTGACACACGTTCCCCAACAAGAGACAGCCATCTCCACATCCCTGCTATGGCTGGGACCTTATTTGGAAATAAATATATTGGCAGATAAAGCTGGATCTCAAGATGAGGTCATTTTGAATTTGGAATGGGCTCTGAGTCCAATGCCAGGTGTTGCCTAAGGAGGGAGAGGGAAATACAGAAAGGAGAAACCATGCGATGTCAGGGGCAGAGGCCAAGCCAAGGGACAGCAAGGGCGGCCAGCAACCACTGGAAGCTCAGAGAGGCCCAGAGCAGATCCTCCTTCAGAGCCCTGGAGGGTCCAATGTCACCATCGCTCTTGGAACTTCTGGCCTCTGGAACAGTGAGTGTCCGTTGTTGTAAGCTGCTGGACCTAGGAAACAAACAYGCCCTTTCACCCTCTTCTCCTGTTCTTGACCCTCTGTCCCTGAGCAAGTGGGGAGTAGTGAAGGAGTCTGAGAGCTGGCAATTGATTAAATAAGCAGCTTAATTAGCTGCCTCCTGGTCATTGCCTGCTCTTTCCTAATCATTTAGAGGGGAATAGATGACGTTTCAGGGTTGATCTTTGCACATCAAGGGCCAGACAGGAAGACTGACACAGCCCTTTACTTCCTGGACCCAATAAAAGGAAAGAGATTTTGCCTCCTAAGCCAGAGGCTTTGTAAAAACAAAAATCTAAGTTAATCCAATGCATCCACTTAATTATTTAAGTAGCAAGTCAATATTTCTCATTAGCTTCATCTTACAAACCCAGCCATGATAATGAATGAGAATCAATGGACAAAGAAATGAGCCCAAAGAAGAGCAAGAGGCCAAATCTGATATTATTTCATGAAGGCAAGAAAGGCTCAACCCCTTCCCAGAAAATAAATCGCAGCCACACTCATTGCCAAGATCCAAAGAAAAAAATTTATTTACAATAGAGAATTTTATTTGAAACATGCATTTTTTTTTAAACAAATCAGCAAGTGCAGATCAAGTTTACACTCCTTAAGGCAAGAGTCCCAATGCACGCTGTACATGTTCATATTAAATCAAACCTGCTCACCTGGGAATCTGTGTACAAAGGGCAAGACCAAGGTCAGCAATGTGTTTATTAGAGAATCAGACAATCTCCCTGATACAGGAACTCTGAGGTCAACTTGCTATGAATTATACTAGGAAAATGCAAACCAATAGCAAGAAATCCTGATAGTCTCCTTAGCACTGCATACAATCAAATCAACTTTATTCAGAAAGGAAATACAGTAGTGCATACGAAAAGTGAAAACAGAGCCTGTCCGTGTGGGTGGAAGGACGGCAGTGCGCCCACGGCCATATTGCACGTGACGGTCAAGTCCCAGCATTTGGTTCAAAGTTAGCTTTTTCCCATTTTGGCAATCAGTTCATCACAGATCTTGGTGAGCTCTTCTATCTCTTTATTCTGAAAATGAAGACAAGAATTAAGTTCTTGATGTTTAAAATCAAGCCATTCAGAAGATCACTGGGGCAATGGGGTTACCTAAAGCGGCAGGAGAAATAACTCAAAGCCAAACAATCTGAGTATACATCCCAGCTCTGGCTATGTGACCTTGGGCAAGGTACACAACCTCTCTGAACCTTGGTTTCCTTATCTTTAAAAGGCAAGTGGATAACATCTCTCTGAAAATTAAAAATGAGGCAAGAAATATAAAGTCCTTCTGGGTAAGTAGCCAGCACACAGTATGGACCTTGCCCTCTATTTGCCTCTGACAGGTGGTCTGGGCTGAGCTCTTGGGAGGTTTACTTGAGAAATGGCCCAAGGCTGAAGCAATCCCACCTGGATGGAGAACACCAGCAATGTGTGGAAGATGCCCAGTAGGCTGAGTCAGTTCCAGACTCGAATCCAGGGAATTTCATCTGTGTATTTTATCTCTAGAGCAAAAGGGAGCCCAGCAACCAAGGGGAAGGACAATGCTTGCCCGGGGCCATTAGATGACAGAGTCGGGAGGAGCTGAGCATCCTGATTCCCAAGTTCTTTCCCTGACCTCCCCTAGTGAAGTGAGTTGGTACTGCCCAGGGCAGAGGTCACTGCGCCTGACCCACAGGCTGCTCTGGTCAGCCATGCTGCCACCTGGCAGGGTGTGGGCGGACGAGAAGAGCTGACCTCTGGGGGACAGCAGGATGTTTCCATAGGCCATCCGGGAGGCACATTGGACTCCTGATGCTCACCTGCCTATCAAGACCCCTCACCTCTGTCCAGCAAAGCCCAGCTACTCGAGAAGTGATGCTGCCCAGACCACTCTCAAATGACCACTGGAGGATCCTCAGGTTGGGTCCTTATCTGGAATGGGCTGGCCACTGCCTAGAGACTCAGACTCATTGGCCTAAGCACCTAAGGCTCCTGGGCCACAGGGCTCCTCATCTAGGAACCCAGGGAGACGGGCACACCGTGCGCTGAGCACCAGATCGAAGGAAGGAAACCAGGGACAAGCCGAGCAACTCTGGGAAGTCCACCTCCATCCATGGAACTCGAGACCACGCGGGCCCTTTAGCCTGCTGCTGCCCATCCTCTGCAGAGCCTGGCAGGCACTGATCACTCTCCCACAAGCACACGGGCTGCAGCTTCCAGAACYGTGCCAGCACATCTCAGGTGCTAACAAATATTTGACACATGAATGATGCTGACAAGGAATGGAAAATGGAGATAAACCGCCGGGCAGACGGCGGTTCTAGAAGGGCGGAGAGAGAGTCTGTTTCAGGGCTAGCACTGAACAGGGCCTCCCAGAGGCTTCTCAGGAATCATGAACTTGTCTGTGGGGCCAGCTCTGCCCGGGAGCCCCATCTCTGTGTATCTGATGGACTAGCCGGCTGTCAGGGCACCAGCCCCCGCCCAGAGGCCCACCCTCCCCTGTCACCTTCTGCTCCAGCGTTCTTTCCAGGGCGTCCACTCGCAGCTGCTCCTTCCGCAAGCTGGCCTGGTAGGCGGCCTGCTCCTGCTGGGCCTTGCCTCGAACCTGGGCGATCTCCGCGTTGGCCCTGTGGGGAGAGGGGACCCAGAGATCAGACCTCTTCCTATAGGTGGCCGTGGATCACCGCAGACACCTCCTGCCTCCTTGTCCCTACCCTGGGCAGCGGGAGGGGCCGCCAGAGCTCCCAGCCGAAGGGCTGTGTTACCTGTCCAGCTTCTCCTCCGCGTGCACCTTCAGGGCCTGGTACCGCTGCTCCTCCTTCTTCACGCGAGACAGGTACTCCTGTGCACATTTCTTYAGCACCTCTTCATTCTAGCACGGCAGAGGACAGGGGTCAGAACCCCCAGGAGAAACGCCCTGACTCGGGCACCCCCAACTCTCTGATGCAGGTASAACCCAGGTGGCCAGTCTGACTCCCCAGCCTCCTTCAGACTCCCACCCCGACACAACGGGGCCCCCAACGTCTCGCCCAAACAGGCCAGCCTCCTGCTCTGCCCGAGAGCTCGGACGCACCTTGCGGAAACCTTCCAGGACCTCCTTCATCTTCTCGTATCTCCTGAAAAGGTCGGCCAGAGACTTCTCCACGGAGTTCAGGTCGGCCAGGGCTTGCTCCTTCTCCAGGACCAGCTGCTGCACTGTTTGGTGTGAGACTGACTTCTCCCTCTGTTCGTCCTCTGCGGGGAGAGACAAGAAGCCAAAYGATGGAGCCTGTGGAACCCAAGCTGGGCCTCCGGAGCCAGCAGAAGCTTCAGGTGTAACTCAGCCCCATCAGCCCTGGCTGTCCTTGGGATGGGCCGACTCCCCAGATCCCTCCCAGATGGTCTCTGATGGCTCCAGCATCTTAGGCCTGGGCCCATGCAATAGCACACGGGGTGGAAATTAGCCCTTACTCTTGAGCCTGCTCAATGCCTCACTGACAAATCTACACTGGGGACCCACCGAGCCTATTTTTTTCTGCTGAGAAAAAAGGAAGACATCACTACTGAATTTTGTGTGGGGCAAGATTAATGGGTGCTGTGGCCTGGGCTTCCCAAGTGCCACCAAGACTGACAGAAGGTCATTGGGAGAGACCTAAAATATCCCAGAATCCCCAAGCCCACAGGACAGTCCCCCTGCAGCTGTCTGAGGCCAACACTGACACTCCTCTGTGCAGCGAGGACGGGGCTCTAGGAAAACATCATTTCTGCAAAGTGAGTTTCTCAGTGATGCACGAAGAACAAGCCCCGGGCCCAGTGCGACTGCCAGCCCTGGTGTGAGGAACAGCACTCTCTCCAGAGCGCCTCTCTGGCCCTCGGCCACCTCTGTGCTGACGCGACAGGCTTCCTCAGACTCTGTACACGAGGCCTGTGGCTCCCTCCGGCCTCTGCATGCCAGGCCCAGGGGCTGCAGGACTTCACTGTCCTGGTGACAGCAGAGTGCGGAAGGCAGAGGCCCCAGGGCTCCTGGGGGACACACCTGCCAGCCCCAGATCTCCTGGGAAGGGGCTGGCTGGAACTGACTCCTAGTGCTGGCAGCCACCAGGAAGCACATCTGGAACTGGTGAGCAGCCACCAGGTGCAGGGCTCTGCCCCAGCACCCAGCCAGAGCTGAAGGGCCACCCCCACTCTACCCCTGCAGAGCCCCCCACAATGGCCGCCCATGCACTGGGACTAAAATCCAGGCTCCTGCCCCACACACTCTGCCCTTTATCCTCCCTGGCATCTCTGCTCCAGCCTGATGGCCTCAACACCCAGGTGCCTCCTGCCCCAGGGCTCAGGTGGCTCCAGAGCTTCCCATTCATGTAGGTCTCTGAACCTTGTCACTGCCCAAGGTGTAGGAAACGCCCTTCCCCATGCTCTAGCCTTTCCTCCCCACTGTAGCAGCCCCCCCATATCGTTTTAGCAGCTGTGTGCACACAGGGACCCGTACAGGTGTGTGCACTGGCTTCTGTCCCCACTGAACATACTCCAGGTGGGCGTTGGTCGATTTCATCCACCACTCTGTCCCAGGCACATAGGATGCCACCACACAAGTCCATGCGATGAATGAACAAGTGAAACCTCACAAGGACCCAGGTGCAGGTTTTCTCGTCCCCATTTTACAGAAGGCGAGATGGGGGCGTGAACAGCTAAGTCCCTCACTGACYGAGGAAGCAGCAGAGTCTAGGTCTAAACCCAGAGCCATGATAGGGAGAGTGCTTCTACATGGGCCTCTTGTGGGGCCAAACCTGACACCTCTCTGGGTCCCAGGGCCTCATTACCAAGTCAAGCTGCATGTGATCAGGTGGAGGCTGTGCAAGGGCTTTGAGGCCCACCCTGACTTCCTGGTTTGGTCGGTGTCGGTGGGGCTGGGGCTCTGCATCAGTCACAAGCTCCCCAGTGATGGAGATGCTCCAGGACCAGGACCGCAGTGGCCAAGAAGATGCCTCATGCCCCTCTGTCCCTGCCTCTGTGATCACAAGGGTCCTTAGCACTCTTGCTACCAGCAGCTTGTAGCTACACAGGACAGTGGCCAAGGTGCTCYGGAATTTAACTGCCCAGGTTCGAATCCTGACTCTGACACTTCCCAGCTCTGTGACCTTGGGCAGTTTTTGACCTTTGTGAGTCTCAGTTACCTCACCTGAAATAGGAAACAATAGCATTTCTATCATACAGCATTGGCGGGCGGGGGGGGGGGGATTAAATGAGATACTACAGACAAAGCCCTTGACACCTAGGAAGAGTCCAATACCAGTGACTCACTATCAACTACATCACTGTCCATAACGAATCCTGTCATGGTGTCACTCTTGAATCTGTGTGGCAGTGTCATGGTGACCTAAGAACACAGAACAGAATCACCAGCAGCCTGCTTGCTAAGTCTACATTCCTAAAACAAAGGGTGTTTCTAAGTTTCACTAGCAACCCGAAGCTTCTTTTTCTTCTTTGAATTTTAGCTTCTTCCTTAGTTTTCAGCATGGGGTGAGMCATCTTTTCTGGGCTGATTTGTAGCCGCATATGAACCTCACTCTGTGGGGTACAGGAATCATTTATCAAATGGAGTCTATCTGATTTCCTGGATCAAGACGTTGCCTGCCTTAGGTTTCCTTTCCTCCCAACCTAACCCTTTCAAGAACAGAATCGCCCCGTTCCCAGGAGACCAAGGCGGCAAGAATACTGCACAAAGCTTTTTATATGTGACCAATGCAGTTAAGTTCTTAAAAATCAGGAAATCAGCCTCAGACCAGAAACACCCCAGACCCAACGACAGAACGATGCTTCTGAAGAYATTTTTCTGGCTGCTTCAGGCAAAATGTTATTAAATGCAGCAAATACGCAAAAGCAAAACGAACAAAAAATGGAAAAACAAAACACAAAACAAGGGTTGCAACGGGTAGGGGACCAGTTAGGGGGAAGCGTCTACTTACCAGGCTTGCCTGTTTGTTTTGCAAGCAAAGGGCAAGAAGCAACAGAAAATGGAAGCAAAACAGATAATCAGGGCAGTTGTTAGAAAAGCAGAAAAAAACAATTGCAACAACCCGGAATGCAGAAAGCACAGAAATCTCTTTTTGTTCTAAATCCCAGATAGCCAATATCTGATTTAATAAGACACGTTCTCTGTAGTAAGCCGAGGGGGGACAATGGCAGCAGGATGGAGGTCACAGCTGGTGAAGGCCGTGCGGAGCCACAGAGCCAGGAAGAGCCAGCCCAGGTGGGCTAAGCTGGAGTCAGCGGCAAACCCTGGTCTGTTCATGCTGGTGCTGGACTGACTGCCCAGCCCTCAGGGGGCCTGTGTCCCCTCCCCCGAGTGGTGCTGTTAGGTGCCTAGAATTGGACAAGAACTATGGAACCCAGATGTGGCGGATGGGCCCGTTTCACACACAGCGAGAYTCCCTTTCCCAGAAAGAGGCACATGCGCCACGGCGACAGTGGCCAGTCATGCCTCTGGCTCCTGCTATATTCTACTAGGACACAAGGACCTTGAAACATATGGTGGCCTTAATCAGTGACCTGCAACAGTGACTGGAGGCTGACAACCACAGACAGGCCACCTCTGATGAGAAAGCTCTGGAAAGGCAGATGATGGAGGGGGGAATGAGGGCGGGAGTGAGCTCAGGGAGATATTACCCTAGTGACAGTGTGGCCCTGGTACAGATGCTGTGGGGGTCACATGGGCCACCCAGAGAGCTCTCCCAAGAAAAGGAAAATGCTCCAAGAGGCCGAGTGTCCAGCTCTTGGAGACAGAACCTCAGGCCAAACACACCAGGTGGCTGTAATCCCTGGAGTGGGGCGGTGGCTGGGGGGGGGGGGCAGCACCCCCGCCAAGGGGCACCCTGGAATTACATGGCACCACCGCTCCTCAGGGTGAAAATGCTCCGACTGCTCCCACCTGCAGTCTTTCTTCAAGGAAAGCGTGAGAGTCAATTGATCTTTCTGTCCCAAGGCCAGGTGGCGTGTGTCAATGCGGAAGGGTTTCCTGCTCTGAGTTCTCAAAAGGGCACGTCTGCTTCAATCGGCTTCTCCCACTGGGCACCCAAGCTGGCGCTGAGCAGCCCTCTCTCAGGAGCCGACCTCAAGCCCCTTCCCCACCATTTCTACATGAGCCAAAATGTATGTCCCTGCCAAGGGCAAAAAATACTCAGGAATGGAGCGGGATGTTCTAGATGAGCCACGATGGGGCTAAGGGATGCTCCCCTCTTCCCAGGACCTGCAGAGGCCAAAGGGCACTCTGAACGTGCAGAGCCGAGGACGGAAAGCCTCCACCCTGACCGCTCTTACCAGCAGGTCGATTCCAAGAGTTTTGAAGTTTCTATCTCATCCAGATGTGTTCATAGATTCTTACGACAATTGAACACAGAAACTTCATRTGATGGAAAGCACACAGAAGGGGGCAGCCGAGGGGCATCTCCCAGAGGTGGGGGCAAACGGTCTTTGTTACAGGACCACAATGAGAGCTCCTCTGATTGGACAGTGCCTCTCCCAGAGGTAGGGGCCATTSCTGAGGCTTCTGTTTTCTTTATCTTGGGACAAGTTTCAGGTGGGGTGTGACTGGCAAATCCAAACATTTGAGGCGGGGGGGGGGGCTCATCTGCTAGCTTAGTGTAAAGCTTAAACCTATAAACTGTGGTTGGCAGTGACCTGGAGATTTTACATGTATCCTTAGGGGAAAAGAGGGTTTTTTTCCCCCCAGTTTTTGCAGTGACTGGGGATTGGACCCACGGGCTCTGCTGCTGAGCTATATCCTTAGATGATTTTATTTTTATTCTGACACAGGGTCTCACTAAGTTGTCCAGGCTGGTCTCAAAACTCGTGACCCTCCTGCCTTAGCCTCCTGATTTGCTAGGATTACAGGCAGGTATCACCACACTTGAGAAAAAGATTTTTWAAAAGCTGATTGCTAAGAACCAAAGGAAATCATAAATTGACAGCTAAACAAACATGGTGACCCYAGAGTCGGAATGTCATTTCTCAACAGTGATCATCAGTCTGAAAGCTAGTCTGTCGGTGCCGGCTGCCAAGGACGCAGCACCCAATCTCCCTGCACAGGGTGACTTATCAGGGTCTGCCAGAGGTGTGGCAGCAAAGCACGYGGGCAATGGCCACAGGCTCCTGTCAGGCCCTGGACCCTGTGTAAAGGCTGAGCRGCAGGTTCGGTCATTTGAGTCTGAACTCATTAGGCTGTCGGGATTCTATTCCTGTTCTTTCCCATGAACAAAAACCAAGGTTTGCAAGCAGAAGCCAGCCCAGTCTCCCTCTCCACCAGGTGAGCGGTTCCTGGCTGGGTCAGGCGCCTTCTGGGGGCCGTTTCCAGGACAGAGCCATGCGCTGGGTGCTCTGGTCCCTCCTGAAGGGCACCATGTTCTGAGCCTCCACTCTCGAGGCCTCCCCTGAACTTGGAAACCTCACGGCAGGCCTGAGCCCCACAGGGTGGTCAGGACACTCACCTATCATCTGTGCGATGGTCTTTTCGTACTCGGCTACGATCTTCCTGTAAGACAAGCAAAAGCACAATGGACCACGACAACAGGATGCTCCCACACGGGGGACATCGACAGTGTGACCGTGATCAGTGGGACAAGTCTCACCTGCCAAGGTTGGGCTCCCTGGGGCAGGGCCACCCCAACGCTCAGCCACACACAGCGGTTCATTTTCCCAGTGTGTGACTGCACGCTGCACGCCCCCTGCCAGCCCTCAACGCCCCACTGACCACTAAGGCCACACCTTCAGCCTGCAGCCACCTGGGCCCACGCCCTCAGCCCCCACCCCACACACACACACATACAGGTGCTTCGAGACCCAGGGGGTGCTCTATCTCCACTGCTGAGTCTGTTTCTCAAGGTCCAGCTCCAGTGTCTCTCCCCTGGGGGACCTTCTGTGATTTCCCCTGGGAGCCCTCTAACACTTTCTCTGTATCTCAGACATCTGGCCTCCCAGAACACGAGTCCATCTCCTCCACTGRAGCAGGCCTTCCAAGGCCTGGAGGTGCACTTCTTGGGGAGCCTCGTAAACAGCAGCTGCACCCGAGCACTGAGAGCCCCTAGTTAGCCTGCCCGTGGCTCCCTGTGGAGCACTGAGGTGTGAGGCCGCCCTCCCTCCAAGGAAGCCTCGGGAAAGCCAGTTTCCCTGCATCATGCAGCAATCATTCTCCCCCAAGAGCTGCTAATGGCCAAAGAGACAAGACCCTGAGGACACAGGCCACAAAGGCCCAGGCATCAGGTGGCCCAGGCCTGGCTGACCGGCCTCTGGGACTCTGGATGAGTCATTGTCAGAYGCAGGCTCTGCCTGCTCCCTGGTATAGGGGGACCACCCTCGCGCCACCTTCAAGCGGGAAGTCACTCGATTCTTCCCGACTCCCACTCAGAAGCACTTCCATGCTTTCCGATTGACAGCCAGCTCCTTGTATCCAGGATCACAAAGATGTGGTRGGGCTGAGTCTAAAGCTGTCACTGATGATGATGACAGGCAGGTGGCCAGGGCCATGTCTTTTTAGACGTGTGGATGGACCACGGGCCTGAAAGTGCTGTAGCTCACTGCACCTTCATCTTATCCTCAGTGACCCAAGAGACTGGGCTCCTAACTGTCCCCAGCACTACTGATGAGGATGCTGGGACACTGCAGACTCGGAAACCTTTCCAGGATTCAAGGGTTCACCTTTACGGCCCACTGCAGCAAGGCACTGAAGGTTACCCCACTATACAGATGGGGAAAGGAAGGCGGAGTTAAGCAACATGCTGAGAAGCAGCTGGGAAGAGGAGCCTGCTTTCACCTGGTGACGCTCCAGAGGCTGATAGGGTGATACTCGGGCCATCCAATGCCAGTGCAGCTGTACCAGCTGGTGGCAGGTTGAAATCCTGCCASCTCAGAGAGTGGACAGCACTCCCTGGTACGACCTCCCTGGGTGGCCGGAAATCATGGGCAGACCTTCCAGCCTTCCCAGTACACCCCGTTCATTTCCAGAGCAGCTAAAAATCTAGAGCCACCCGACCCTCTCCAAAGAAGACATAAAGAAATTTAAAACATAATGCAGCTGTGTGGCTTCAGTGAGCCCATGGAAGGGCACAGGAGACCAACCACAAGAAGGCGTGAAGCAGCCACAGGAGGGCATCGTTGCAGAGAAGGCACAAGAGAAGAGTTTCAGGATGACACTACTGGTACCTAGAAAGCAGGTGCAATTCCCAAGAAGTCTGCTTGCTGCTTAAAATGGCAGCCAGGAAGGCGACTGATTTCAAGCCAGCTCCCACCACTGCTACTAGGTACACGGTGGCTACTGTGTACTATTTCAACACCTGGCACATGAAGGAAAATGACCAGGAGGAACTGGAAGGGAGACCCTGGGAAGGAGGGTTATTACTGTACATATCTTTACTCCATTCTTTACACTAAAAATACTCATAAAAGCAGGAGCCTTGCACAATGAAGAAAAGAGGACTCCTCCAAGACACACCACTGGGCTCCACCACTGACCTCATCTCCATCACCTCCCGTCTGCTCTCTTCATATTTCTCTTTCCACTCCGAGACCTCTCTCTCCTTGGTTAGGACCTAGAATCAGGAGGAAGAGGAGGGTTAAGCCCAAACGTGTGGATTTGGATTTGACCAAATCAAAGAGACATCAAGTAAGTGTGCCATTAACACTTCCTAAGCCACATCATAATTACAGTCAGAGAACTTCCCCAACACCGAGGGAGAAGTAAGCCAGACGCTACTTTCCCAGAGCCCACTGGGAAGCAGAGGAAAGGGGCGTGCTTTCTGTTACAAACAGACAAAGCCCTCCAAGCCCACGGACGTGACTTCTAAGGAAGATCAAGGTCCACGGGCTGCCACGCATCTTTGCCTGCAGTGCTCCAAGGAGAAAGGCTGACTCCAAAGACGCAGGCTTCCCGGGTGTGCATCTAATTTACAAGACACCACATTCTTCCCAGGGCAACCCRAGTGGCCCTTCTCCTCGCTGTGCCACTGTACCTCTGCTCTGGCCACCTGGAGTGCAGAGTCCAGGTCTGGCTGCTGGAACAGAAGGCCCGCCGGCTTCTCCACCTCAGAGGTCCCGATGCGGGAATACAAGGCTGTTTTGGAGATGGAGACATCTGGTGGGTGAGCAGCTTCTCTCTGTGGAACGGTTTTTCATTTGGGGGGGGAAAAAAACACACAAAAAAAACCAACCCAGTTAACATTCATCACAGGACAAAGAAAACGCATCCATCCTCTCGGTTGCATGGTTTTGAAACAAAGAACATCAAAAGTATGAAGAATGCAAAGACTCATGAATGGGGAGACACCAGGCACCACTGATGAGATCCATCTTTTGGCCTGTGCAGCCAGACGGAGCACTGATAATGGCAGAAGCCCTGGCAGCCCAGAACAGGGAGTCGAGTGGGTCTGGTGCCGGCTTATCACTGCCACTTATCAGACGCCAAGCCACTTTAGGCACAGTGCATGAGACCAAGGTCATTATCCAGCAGGCTCCAGTTTCAGAATGAAATCTTGCCCATGAATGATACTGAATTCTAATCTACGTTTTCCTGGTTCTGTATAACCGCAGATTTGATCACTTTTGGAAGACTGGCCACATCTGAATTTGGGGGCATCTGTTTAGTTCCGTTTGAAAGGATGCGATTCACACATTTAAGGCTGTAGCAATCAACCATGCCAACTTCAACAAGCTGGAGTCTCCGGGCGTAAGGTTTATGTTGGAGTTACGGTAAGTCTGTTGCATCTACAGGAAATCGGACAACTGGGTCAATGGCAATTTCCACATTTGCTGATACGATCCCCACCCCACCAGATGACACTGGCCTGAGGCTTTCTACCCTTTTCAGGGGAGGTTAGGAGCAAGCGGGCCATGGTTATTCTTCCCTTGGCACAGAGTGCTTGGCAACCTGCAGCCTGGGTGAAATGCAGGGTTAGAAGCATCATCAATCAGCACAGCCAGGTTCGTCAGCCTACTTCTACCACCACAAGAACAGCAAGCCAGCCACACTCTCAGTCCCATCCATTCACCTGATGGTGCTGTTATGGCGGCCAAGGGGACCTCGACCCTAGTTCTAAGTCCAGTGTGAGCCCGTGGTGGTTAAGAGGGTGGAGAGGGGCTGTGTCTTYCCTAGGAAATCATGAGACAGGACTGAGCAGTGAACAGATAGAGCACCGTGGTGTAGGAGGAAGACAGATTTAGGGAAAGAAGGGCGAGGACTGTAAAGGGCAGCAGATAAGATGAAAGGGCCAGCGGTCTCAGGAAGGGGTGGACCTGCAGGCGCTTGAGTGGAGTGTCTCTAATCACAGGACAGCCACGCTGACCCTACCAGAGCAYCAGGGCAAATGACCTTGGGAAAAAAAAGAGACAGCTCAGGAAACCCGGGCGGAAGTGTAATGGACAGGACTGGAGATGAGGAGTCAGGGCAGTTAGTTGAACACATGCAGGGTGAACAAGAGTTTAGGTGGTCCTGGGCGAGACCACCTGTCCTCTGGCTCTTACTGCCTCTGCCTGGCCTTGAGCTCTTGGGCTGACCCCGAGGTGAGAGGCCRTGATCAGCTGGTCAGAGTGAGGAGCACACAGCCCTGGCCCAGCAGACCCCAGAAACTCGCCCGCAGGTCAAATGGGGGGCCACAATCTTCTCAGCCTCTGATCCTCAAGATGACACCTGACCAGACGCGGTGGACAGCCCTGGCAGCAGGCAGGCCGAGCGCCTGCAGGGTGGCACCTCTGCCCAGAGGGCTGCATCCCCGCTGCTGGAAACGGGCTTTTACAGTTCTGCCTGCAAGGGGAAGCTTCTCCAGGCTCAGCACTCATACTTGAAAGTTCACAAACATAAAATTCAGAAGAGGTCTTTAAAAGGAAAAAAAAAATGTTCCTAATGTTTTTAACAATTTTCTTTTTTTTGGTGGGTGGGGGGGAGATGCTAGGATTGAAACCCAGGGCTCTATGTGCACCAGGCAAGTGCACTCCCACGGAGCTGCACCCCAGCCCTCTGATCACTTTTCAGTGTGCTCTTTTAAAAAATTAGAACAAAAATATTTCAAAATGAAAAGAACATTAGAACCGCCACACTCATCCTGGTCCTTCTGAGGATGAAGTAAAATGAGGATCGGAGAGATTTGGTTTAAAAATTTCCCAAAATGACATTCGGCTCTGACCCTCAAATAAACCACTCCCCGAAACGCAGGAGAAAATGAACATAGTGAAAATTAACTTTATTACACTGAGCAGGAGCTAAATAGGATCAAGGAAGGGATTAATGACCCTAAGCTGCCCCAAGTCCTTTGTGAACCAAAGAGGGGAATGAAAAATACATACAACACTGAAGAGATAATGACCACAGAGTGAGTCCCTGCCACCTTTTTGATGGCACCTGGTCCTCTCAATAAAGGAACAGAGGACTTCAGGACGCATGTGAATTACTGCCCTGCGTCAGCACCTGTCTGTATAATGAAACTCATCTTCCACACCCTGGCTTCTCCTTACAACTAAGAATTGTTTTCAACTGAAATTCAAAGGTCTGTCTCTCACTGATATTTTAAGATCAGATATTTTTAGATGAAGTTTTGCTCCTCTCACATAATTTCCCACTTGCTACTTTAGAGGGACTAAAGCCACTAGAAATCACAAATTGAGATGTGAAGAGCCAGGACTCGGAAGGCACCAGCCCTTGCAACYAACCTCAGCCATCAATCCACTCCTCAAGTCTGGGGTCCTGTGCGACCCCCCAGGCCACTGTCTCCGGCTACAGACCTACAGGYCTCTTGCCAGGGTCCTTCTGGTCTTGCAGCCAGGGAATAGGGTCCTGCCACTTACCCAGGCTCAGGGTCCTCCCTGAGGCCAGTTCCCTGTTGTCAGGCCTCAGGGCTTGGACTGTGGCAGGATCCCTGTCCTCAGAACACTTGGAGGCTGATTGTGGGAGGACAGACAGAAAGCTCAGAGAGCTGTGGTGAGGAGGACCTGCAGGGGTGAGGACCAGGAGTCAAGGACCTGCACACAGAGCTAAGGCYATCGAGTGTGCACCCCGCCTGAGTGTCCAGGAGTGTCTGGTCCTATCCAGGCAGGAGAGATCCAGGAAACACTATTAAATCAAGATGGAGACACATGTCAGAACCGGCTGTAACCGACAGGAAGCTGACCGCTACTTGCCTATTGCCGAGGACTGCCTTCCGCCTGCCCGGGGAGGAGGGGACCCCATCACACTCCGTGCAGACCTGAACCACTTAGAGGAGCATGCTTGGCTAGGCCCCACACGTCSCCCGAGAGGAACCCACCAGTTAAGCCATTCCTACAGGACACCAGGAAACCAGCCCAGGGGAGGAAGAAATCCCTCACTGCTGACAGCTTTCTAAAACTCCGACCTCCATGGACATTCCACCTAAGTTTTTGGTTTGGCAACAAGAACAMACACATCACTGATCTCTTTTTACATTCTTGTGACTGCCCTATGTCCACTGTTCTCAGTCTGGACGCCCACTGTGGGACCACCTCCTGTCTCTGGAAGGGGTTTTCCTCTCGGCTGCAGCCAGAGAGACCCAGGTGGGGTCTTACAGGCAGRAGCAGCTGCTGAAATTCCCGTACCACCATGCGACTTGGTTTCCCACTTGTAAAACAAGACCTGGACCTGCTTCCTGAGGAGACACTGGGAACATCTGACCAGGTAAGAGGCAAAAATGGGGTGCTGGCCAACACAGCATCTTCCTTTTCTTGCACATCTACTATGTGCCAGGCAGGGGCTGCTCCTCACACACCATCTGGAGCCCTCACTGCACCCACAAACCTGCTGTGATGAGCCTCAATGCACAGGTGGAAAAAAACGAGGCCCAGAGAGGTTCACTAACTCATTCAAAGCCACAGAATACAAGTGGGGTCCAGCTCCAGTGTCACAACCATGTCCACTGGGCTGCCCAACTTTGGGTAGTAAAAAGGGGTGGGACGAGGCCAATGCTGAGAGACCACAGCTCGACAGCAACCTGGGGCRACACACTGCCTGTCCGTCATCAGCATTGACTTCTAACCCTTAAGAAAACTCACCCCAAACCTGGAAGCCAGTCTGAAAGATTYCCACATGCCCTGTCAAGGTCACACTCAAGAACCGGGTGCTAGCAAATGCTGGTCCAAGGAAAATGGCCTGCTGCCCCCTTTTAAAATTAAAAACAAACAAACAAACAGGTACAGTTCCTTGGCCRTCTCTGCACATATTCTGAGGCTGCATAGGCACTGTCAGGCAGAGGCCGTGTGTGGGCCCTGCAAATCTGCACTATTTCTGCAAGCCCTTTACCAAAAGGACTGTGCCGTCAAGCACATGGTCCAGCGCCTCCGCACAGGTTTTGCTTTCACTTCCTACCTACTGCTGMTTCTCAGTAAAGTTTGATGTGAACTTGTAGAAAACAGAAAAGTTGCGAATGATTTTTGTTCCATAGAGAAGCACACATTATCTGTAGGGGRAAAAAAATGATAACCTCAAAGGTGATGATTTTTTCATCTGAACCAGGATTCTCCGGTTTGATATCAACTCTGCCACTCTTCCAGCCTTCTTCGTGCCCCTCCCCTCCCCCCCTGCACACACACACACACACACACCCCACATACTGGCTTCTCTGATTCTCCCCACCTAGCCAGCACCACCATCTGCTGGCGAACGCATTCTTGAGTTAAGCAGATCTTAGACATGTGCTCAGCGTGTTTATGCAAGAGTTACACTTTTAGCTTTTTGGAAATCACACTTGGCCGGGCACCCACAATGCCTGCCTGACCGACGGTTAGCAAAGCAGGCACTGGCCCACGGTGGCACACACAGCATTCTCAGAGGGCAGCGCACTGCAGCCGCAAACCAGTACCTTGGTGTCCTGGCGGCTGCGGGAAGCCAAGGCAATCTGCCTGGCCAGCTTCAGGGCTTCTATCCGCATGATGGCAAATTCTAACTCCTCCTGCCCAAGGGGTGGGGTATGAGCAGACCGCAGGGGAAACGTATCAAGACAGATGTAATGTTTTCCGCACCCAAGAAATGAATGTGCCATGTAAATGCGTCATGACAGGTACTCGGGAAAGACACACGCTTGGCTTTCTCACAATAARCACCTCAGCAGATCATGAAACCGTGTTTAATTTCCTTTTTTAAAAATATTGTCCTTTTAAGTCTCTACAGAGAACCTATGCAAACATGAAATGGATCCAAATTTTTACTGTACTATATACAGTCTTTGATTTTTCCTTTTTAAAGTGAAGTTGGCCAACACTTTCCATGAATGAATGTGCATCTGTCAAATGACTGTGAGCCGTCTCTCTAGATTTCCTTTCAAAGTTCAAGTCTAGGGGATATCAAATTAAGCTGTCAAATGCAAAAGTGCGGAGGAGATAATTGTTTTGGTTCCAGATGCAAGACTGAGTCCAGATGTTATCTCAACAGGATTCTGAGATCGCCTAGTCCAGGCTTGATGGTGACCTCATACCTTTGGTTTGGTGAATGAATCACAGACACTGCTGTTGGGGTTATCAATACACCTGAAAAATGACTGTTTTGGTCCAGTTTCCAAACTGAAATGGAAATGGTTCCTTCGATATGTAATGGCATCATTTGTATAATTTTGGCATACTGGATAAAGCACACCACATATCAGTGCCTGAGGGGAAGATGTTCATTCTGGAACATTCTCGGCAACTCCTCAGTATATCCGGCCCCAGTTCATCTGGGGCTCGGGGGGTTCATTCTCTACTGAGGTTTTGACAAACTCCCAAAAGGTCACACGTGGGCTACAAACCTGAAGTTTCTGAGCAAATACTGGGGGGTTCTTTTCTGCTAAGTCGGGTTCCAGATAGTCAAGTGCACCACAGAGAGAGGCGGGGTGGGCCAGCCTGCTGAGAAGGGCGTCAGCAGAGGCAAAGGCAGCCTCGGGAGCTGTCTGAGCGCCGGCGGAGAGGACGAGAAGGAAAAAGGAGGAGAGCAGAGAGTGACGTTGATGGACCACACATCTGTCTGTCTGCAGGACATTTCTGCCTTCAGGCTAAAGGGGGCATCCAATCCTCACCCACATGCTGACAGTGGACACCTTGACACTGGCAGGCCCACCCCACTCCCCAAAAGCGCAGCCTCCTGTGCCCTCCCCACCCTGACTCCCCGGCCAGAGGCTGAAGCCAAGTGACCATGTGCTTCTGCTTGGAAATCTCAGTGGTGGGAGGCAGAAGCTAGGTGACGGGTTTTCAAGACCTGACCTCACTCAACAAGGAAAGAGCCCCAAGCGTAAACACCAGAGAAAGTAAGGTTTTGGTAAAGGCGATTTTCTAAACAATGGAAAGATGATTTCAAAAGGAAAAAAAGTGTCTCCTGGCAGATCAAAAAGCCTTCAAAATCAGAAGCCAACTTTGCAGAATGGTGAATGGTGGACGAGTCCTCCACAGCAGTGATCTGAGAGGCCRATTAACATCCAGATCTCGTTTTGCCCATTATTATGTTTCCAATAGTCCACCCAGCCTCCAACTGAGTCCACATCCACGCAGGGTGGGTGCTCAATTAATGTTTGCCATGTGAGATAAATGAAGTCTCCTAAGGCAGACCAAAAATCACACACTACATCAGTGGCTTCAAAAACACTGGGGATTTCTAGGAAGGAAGTAAAGAAATAAAATTTGCCTAGGGGAATGGTCCATTAAGATGCGTGGAGACCRTCACACATGCATCACATACTCTAGGGAACCCCAGGGCCCCATGGGCATGTGACATCAGGGAATGGGCTGGGGGAGGGGAAGAGAAATTCCCATCAGCGGGACCCAGGAAAACCACCTGAGCTCCAAAAGGAGGGTGTCCCCTGCTCTGCCACTCTCGGATCTGCCATCAAGCCGCAGAGGCAGAGTACTGGCCAGTGGTGGCCCCAAAGCACAGTCCAGTCCCAAGGGGAGAAAAACGGAAAAAATAACCCYGGGGGCCAATAAAGCACCCAGGTGGGAACTGCAAAGCCAGGTAGGAGACGTGTCTTTCCCTGGGGTGATGCCGTGGGGTCTCCCAGGCTGGCTCCTGTGGTCTGGGGGTCAGGGTGGGGCCACAGCAGGTGCCAGCTGAGCTTGATGGCACCCAGCAGGCCCTGGCCTCGTCCCCTGTGATCTCACTCTGGGGCCCTGGCCGTACTTACKATTTCAATCGCCTCTGAGGAGGTGCCCAGGGCCATGGCCTCCAGTTCTGGCTGGGAGGACTTCTCCGGCACCTGTAAGTGTGGCTCTTGGCTGGAGGCTAGCCCTCGTGAGACAGGACGCTGGATTTTTGCTGCAGCATTAACGAGGGCTTCTGTCTCTTCAAAACTTGACCTGTGGAGGCAATGGGCATCTTTAGAGTCTTCTCCTCGGAAATCCCACTGAAATCAGCCAGGATGCCCTGAACCAGGCAACATCCCAAGCCATCTTGGAGCTCCAGAGCTGTCTCCAGTAGTACCTGGGACAGAGCCAGATGCCACTGGGGACACAAGCTCTAGGATCAAGCAGATGGCCGGCTGCTTGGCTGTGTACTCTGGGGGAGGTGAAGACACCACATCCCGGCTTCCTTTCCTATAAGCAGAGACAAGTACCTATGGGAGGGTGAGATGAGGTGCGACCTCTGCTGTATACCATCACCATCTCACCTCCCGGGCAGATTCTGGTCCGTGAGTTTGAGAAGTCAAAGAGCAGGCAGACGAAATGTGGGAYGGTCAGAATCTTAAAGCACTCCCACTCCTCCCCCATTAAACATGACGCTGTTCAGGACACGAGCCACATCCGTGTCGATAACATACGTGTCGATAACATATGTGTATCCAGCACGTTGCGTGGGCCAGACAGCCTGGCAAGAGCTTTCCACACAGCACTGATGGGGAGCCAGGGACCCTGTGCCCCTCGCACAGCTGAGGGAGGTGCTGGGGCCTCTGGAATCTTCCTAAACCCCTGCGTGGTCAGTCTATTACATCACACTCAAGGAAACTGAGGCCCACGTGGGACACGTGAGTCACATCAGGTCACACTGCCCTCACGGGGTGGAAGTGGGACTCGGGTTCYGAGTGCCTTCCACCATTGGATAAATGACAAAGTTGCGTGTGGATTGTGGGGACGGTGGGGGTTCATGCCGTCAGCGGTTGAAGGGTTTCACCTTAGTTCAAAGGGCCCCAGTAACAAGACCAATGCMTCTGTCTGTGCGAACAGAGCCTGGAACTGGGCTGCCTGTGACATCAGGGCCACGGCATGCGGGTGCTCGGGGCTTCAGGCCTGTGGGTAACTGTCCCAGTGGAAGTCGTACCCTGAACAAGGCGTCGGGGACTCGGACATCCGGGTCGGAGACTTCACGGGGCTCTCCTGAGACGTGTCGAACATAAGGTACAAGGATTGCTTCTTCGGGGTGTCATCGTCCTGCTGCAGGGATCAAAGTCACACGTTAGCTTGGGAAGATGAAAAACCAGAGCAAATAACTCAGGGGAGCTCTGACCCACGGGGCCAGGAAGGGAAGGGGAGGAAGAGGGGGGTGCACGACCCGCGCAAGTGGGAATGCGTGCGAAGGGAGGAAGATCTGGATGGTCCTGCTGGGCCACACTGTGTTCAACTCATTTACTGGCCACCCTCATGCTGGCCCCTGAGGATAAACAGAGGGGTAAGGCAAGATCACAGCCGAATGCAGGACACCAGCACCATGACCCAGTGTGATGAGCCCTGCCACTAAGGCACCGGAAAGAGACAGAGCAATGGGTTCAACCTGAAAAGAGGGGGCTCCTCTTGGGGGCAGGGTGGACAGGGCATGAACAGAGAGCGTGGCGCAGGCTGAGAGTCCAGGCACATTCAGGGCCTGTGGAGAGGCTCGGCTGGACTTTTCATGGGGGCGTACAGTGTGGAGCTAAGGGGGAGGAAATGAGAGGCTGGGGGCCATTATCAGACCCCCCAGGTCTTGAATGCCATGTGCAGGAATGGGGACTTGCATCTTTTTGGGATGGGGAGACCCTACATCCTCCCTGCTGAGGTCCCCAAAGAAGCACAAACAATGGCCAGTGTGCGTGCACCATCACATCACAGAAACCTCTGGTGGCTGATTGCTGGCAGAGCACACGTCTCGTGAACTTCATCCTCGAAGCCTGCCAATGCCCGAGTCAGCAGGCGGTGCACAAGAAGGGACGCTGTGGTTTAGTCCCATTAAATCAATGACATCAAAACACGGGACTGTTCCACTTCAGTGGCCAAGTGTCGTACTATGCATGTGGTGTCAACTCTCAGGGACACAGCTGTGGTCTCAGGGGGAAGCGGCCRCTCTCTGAGCAATGCATCAAGAGATCACAACAAAGCCCATGATGCGCCATCCTCAGGGAGCCGTGACTTCCCTCTGTGTCCTGACRTTTCCTGCCTGACCTTCTGGTCCCCTGCAGTTTAGAAGCAGGAACCCCAGCATCTGTGAAGGACGCATGGGAAGAACAGATAAGAGCAACACGTCCAGGGCCATTCAGGGCTGTAGCGAGCCCTTCCGCACACGCTGGGGCTCTGGGGACATGGCTGGCCAACAGCACGGAAAGAGGCCACGGGCAGAACCAACACTTAAGCCAGGGAAGACAGCGGCCCACCACAACCAGTAAAAGTGAAAAGGGGGTGGGGGACCTACAGCCTCTTAAAATAAAAAGAGGGGCTACTTACCATTGTCCCTCAATATCCATGGGGACTTGTTCAAGAGCCCCTTGKATACCCAAGTCCTTTATRTAAAACRGCATGGTATTTGCATATARCCACCACATATTCCCATGTATTTTAAATCAGCCCTAGATCACTTATAATACTTAATATGATGTGAATATTATGTGAAAGAAATTATTATACTGTATTATTTAAGGACTAATGACAAGAAAATGAGTCTATATTTGTTCAAAACAGTTGCATTTGGATTTTTTTTTTTATATGGTGTTGGGGGTGAACCAAGGGCCTCATGCATGCCAGGCAAGTGCTCTACCACTGAGCTACATCCCCAGCCTACTGTTTATCAAGAGCATTTTTGATCTACAGCTGATATGATGACCCATGGAGAGGGAGGGCCCACTGTCATTTGTAGAAAACCGCTTAGGGCACTTTTCAAACCACCACCTCTACCTCACTCACTCTGAAAGAAATTCTGACTAGCTCTTTCTTGGTCTAGGAAAATAATTCTGCAGGAAACCTAATTAGTYTCTTCTGAAAAATGCCCAGTGATGTGAACCAAGTATAAACCTCAAACTCCCAGCCCCCCTTCACCAGCAGCGTGCCCCCAGAATGCTGGGACACAGGGGRCCCCACTTGAGCTCTGAGCTCCAGAGACACCCTTCCTAGGAGAGGTCTCAGCCTGCATGTCCCCAACAAAGGGCAGTGAGGAAGAACTTACGGGTAAGGAGGAGCCAAGTTTTTCCATATATTCGATTTCATAGGMGTTTCTGTAACCCAACTCTGCAAAAGAAACACAAAGTGGATCAGTGCTTCAGACAGGACTGGAAAGAACTAGGCTGGCCAGGGTGGGTCATGGAACAAGGCCCTGCTTTTGGCAATGCCCCATGACCAGAGACTACCCATACAGCCCACAGGGAGGTGCAGCTCAGCTGCTGGCAGAATGGKGAACTTGTTGCTGGCAGGGACTTTCTCCATTAGGGAATCTGAGGGAACCCCCAAGGAACTGAAATGGTGCGACCAGGCACAGGTTTTTGGCTTTGGGCAGATCTGAACACTGKGCCCCGAGTTTTTAGATGAGAGAGCATGTGCATTTGGGGTGATGGTTTTCTCTGTAACTCTCACATGCAGCACAGGTAACGACATGTCCTAACGACATCTTGGAACTAAACCTGTACCTGTCCTCTGCGGACCCAACCCCAGCTCCACTCTAGAGCAAGGGAAGGACAGATATCATTGTTCCTCCAGCGTTGCTTACAAGGGAAATTTCCCAAGTCACTGGAGTGTTTCCCAAGTTCTACAGTGTCTACAGGGCAGGTCCAAACCAGATTTTCAAATACAAAGACTACTGAAGCCCAATTAGGCRGAGAAGTGACTTATTCCAACTGGTGGCTTTGAGCTGCAAATAAAATTGCAGACAAYTACTGGAGACTAGAAACCCCACAGCCTGCCTAAGGCACCTAGGAGGGTCCTCGTGGAAACTCAGTCCTGCTGCTTAACTAAACGCCCTGCCCAGCACTACTGTGTGCCCTGCACTGCCTGGGGCACGGCAGGTATGACAGTGGATGACCTAAAAGGGACCCTGTTCTTGCAGAAACCACAACCTGGAGCTRCCAGGTGTCTCTTTACTTGAAAAGAAAACCACGATGTGTCATGGATCTCACTATATTAAGCGCCAGTGGCAATCCATAAAGCTCAAGGCCTGTTGTAGCTGGATCTAGAATGYCCCCCAAAGGCTGRCAGGTTGAAGGCTTGGTTCCCACTRCAGAGGTACCAAGAGACTGGGCTTTAGGGAAATAATTGGATTAGGAGGGCTCAGACTCCAACAGGRGATTAATCCACGTGATGGGTTAATGATTTCAATGGACTAYTGRGTGGYAGCTGTTGGCAGGTGGGGTGTTCTTAGAGGAAGTAGGTCACTAGGGTAGACTACACCTGTCCACGGCCTCTTCCTCCTCCTTTCTTTCTCTGCTTCCTGGCTGTCATGGACTTTCTTCCTCCGTAGTGYTATGCCTTAACTCAGGCCTGGAGCAATGAGCCAACTGACCATGGACTCACACCTCTGACACCGTGAGCCAAAAGAAACTTCTCCTCCTTTAAGTTGCCTGCACGAGGTATGTTGGCCACAGTGATTGCTGCCAYAGTTGACTAACACAGGTCTCATTTTTTTTTTTAAGATAAAAGTAAATATATGTAGCAGTGCTGGTGTAAAGCTCCTTTACCTCTGCATATGGCTAAAGGCGTCACTGAAACAGTGATTCTTCAATATGTGCTTTAAGATGGGACTATCCTTGGGGCTGGGGTCATGGCTCAGTGGTACAGTGCTCACCTAGCAAGAGCGAGGCCCTGGGTTCGATCCTCAGCACCACATAAAAATAAATAAAATAAAGGTATTGTGTCCAACTACARCTAAAAAATAAAAATAAAAAAATTTTAAAAAGATAGGATTATCCTGGAGACTTTCTTAAAACCTAMAGCCATTTGTGGTTTTAGCTGAATGAACTCAAGAACCTCAGCYTGTGGACAGAATCTCCATCTCCTGGTGGAGATAACATCGTTCTGGTGGACACACCTGCTTGTGGGCTTGAAGCCAGATTTAAAAATAGGTAGTCCGTGTCGTTAGGTAAATAAGGTCTAATATCGAGTAAAATCGAGAATGAAGGCCATGTTGAGAATGGAGCCTGGAGAAGCAGAGCAGCACTTGGGGAAATTGAAGTGTCCCCAAGGCCCAGAGCCCATTCTCAAGAAATGTTAATGAAGCAGCTCCCAGCAGACAGGGGGTGCTCATCAGAAGCAACCCCCAAACCCCAAAACCGCCCCAGGCCCTTCCTGCCCAGATTACTCCTTCAGCCCACCTGTTTCCCACCTTTTGGGCCTTCCCACCTACAGTCCATCACTGCAAGATGGGAAAGCTGAAAGAAGACCTTAGCTATRAAAGAGGGAAGACCTCGCCCTTCCACGGATTCCACTTTTGGGTSCCCCTCTTCCTCCGGGGAGAAGTGTTTTCTGCTGWCYTTTAWTAAASYT